AAGTGGCTTGGAGCTGATCTCTGCCTCGGTTCGAAGGGCTATCTCGAGCTGTGGCTGAACAGCCTTGAGGATGCGCTTCCCCAGTGTTTTCCTCTGTCTCGGGTCCTCGTATGACACTTTCCCAAGCGTGGTAGCGACGAGCTCTTCATCCGCCGTCTCCACTTTCTTGATCTCGGTGTTGATGCCCACGCTGATGACTTCGCATAGGTCATGCGCAAACGCTAATGTCGTCGTGTAGAAGCGAACGTCCAGTTGTGACTGAAGCTTCACCAGTCCGTCGTAGAACACACCCTTGTCCAGCCTGGCATGTCGTCAATAAGAAAGAAGTGAGGTGAAGTTCACGGGGATCACTTACGCGAGCGCCTTCTCGACCACCGGGAAGAAGAGCTTTGCCACCGGAAAGTAACATGTGTCCACAAAGTCCTGCTCAAGTTCAGCAGCCTCCAGTTTGAGCTGCTCGCGTTCGACGACCTGGGCCGACAGGTCCTTGAGTTGCTCCAGATCACGCAGCAGCGTCTCAGCAAATTCGATCCGCCTCTGCAGCCTGGTTTTACCTGAGGGACCCATGCCTGCAAAGTTCCTACGAGTGAGTTCCATGGACGAGAAGGTCTCCATCTGCAGTTGCAGTCGCTTCAGGAGCGCCGCACCCCTACGCGCCTCCCTTTTCAGAGTCCAATACCGACACGCTTCGCTGACGAAATCCTTTCGTTTCCTAAAGGGGAACCGAGAGAGAGCCATTTCGACAATGTCGAAAACGGTCCTAGGAATGACAGGCGCACCAGAGGGAAGTTTCCATATCGGCTTTCCAGGCTGCCCCTTCTTGTTGTCGCCCATCAGGGACAACTTCGCGCCAGTCATCTGGCTTTCATCGGGGGCATGATCCGTCAAGGCGTGACGATGAGTCGCCGCCAGCGCGTGCGCGACAACCTGGTTGTCCGCCCAGATGCGGCCCTTCATGGTCTTCTTGTAGAACCGCTTCGCATCCCGCGTGGCTTGAGCGACGCCATTCTCCTTGGTGTAGTCGGGCGGGCAGTGCTTATCGCAGTACGCCTTGAGAATCATACTGTTGTCAAGAACAGCAAGCGCGCCTTGGCTGTTCTTCATTCGTAGAAAGAGCCTTGACCTCCGTGCGCAGGTGACGTGAAATGCCTGGTAACAGGACTTGTTGCTGCACTGGATGCAGGCTCCCATCTTCTGATCGCAGATGTAGCACGTTAATTTCCAGCGGGTTTTGGGAACCTTGTCCACATCCATGACTGGCTCCATGAAGGTATGATTGCCCAAGGACACCTCAGGAATCCACATGGCGCAGAGTAGGTGAGCCCACTTGCTCGAGTTGGTTTGCTTGAAGGCGCCATCAGTCGTAGGGCAGAAGATGCAGGTCTAGACATTAAACGTTAGCTGCCAGACTCCACCATCTTTCGGGCGCCGCCCATGCAGACACTTACCGGTATTCCGCGGCCAATCAGCTGGCACTTTCTGCAGAGCCACTGACCCTCGGGGATAAAGGGCACACCATAGCACTCTTGATGGACTGCGAGGTCGCAGCCATCGCAGAAGACAATGGCATTTGTGTTCTCGCAGTCTCCGTCATCACAGATGGCACATTTTGAGTCCTGTTCTTCGCCCACTTGCGGTTCGCCGTTGACGGCTGCTGCTGAACTCGACCGCGGCCTGTGCGTCTGTGGTGGCTTCGGGTTAGGCTTGGGAATACGCTTCTCTAATGCGTGCCACTCCTTTTCGATCTTGGTTAACGCAATTTCGAAGACCTCGCGAGTGATGGGCTCCAGCTCGTGGCTCTTCCGCTCAATATTGTAAGCTTCGAGCCACATGTCATCTTGCTCGTCCATATCGTACTCGACACGGCCCACAGGAGCGGATGTGAGGAGAGGCGCGGCCGGCTCGCCGTCGGGCTTCATGGAGAGCGCGGTATCCATGTCATCCTCGACATTGGCGTCGGTTGCCTTGAGCATTCTACGCTCTGGTCGGATGTACTGGTCGCTTTCTTGGTATCCCACATTCATCATAGATTTGTCGACATATCTTGCCTGGCCAAAGCCCTTGCCTTCAAACTGAACGATGCGATCAGATGGACGATATGAGGGCGCTTTCAGGTCTAGCCTCTCCTTCGCCGTCTGATTTCTGATGGGCAAGACTTGGGGAGTCTTGGGCACCGCCGCGGCGGGCACATCCCGAAGCGAAAAGTAAGAGGCGGACTCTCGTGTGGGACGGGTAGCACGGCGCTTTTGGGGTGATTCGGACGCGCCGGGCTGAGATTCTGCCCCCGGGTTCGGAGTGTTGCCGGTCGACTCGGGGTTGACCTCGCGTAGGGGCGTACTGGAGGCGTGGTTGGATGACGACAGCGCAACCGGCGTCGCTGGTGCCACGGGTTGTTGAGATAGCCCGTCGACCTCTTCCGAGCGAAAGACCTTGAAGGTGGCCTCGATGTCGAGGTTTGGGTGGAACTCCTCCCACCCGCGCTCCTCGCGAGGCTTGTATCCCTCGTTCTGGGCAACAGCAGCTGCGACCGCGGCAGCCGAGCTGAACTCCATATCGCCGTGGTCAGCCGCCGTGCGGATGCGGGTGCTTCTCTCCCGCCGCGGTATCGTAGCCGTCGTGGCGGGGACGCGCGGCTCACGCGGGGGTCTCGGGGTGCGCATTGCGCTAGGAACGTTGAAGGTGATGGTGCCATCCTCCTCGATGAAGCGGCCACCGCCTCCAGCGCCCCCAGGTATATATCTCCTTCGTTTTGGAGGGGGCTCGGAGCGAGCAGCGGCGCTGGCGGCGAAGGCTGCTGTTGGGGTGGCCACCTCTCGCGTGGGTCGCGTAGAGGTCGCGACTGGTGGGTTGGCGGCGTCCTTGTCGCGAACGGGTCGGGTCGACGAGGCAGTGGTCGGAGTAGATATGCGCTCGCGACTAGGGCGTTTGGAGATGGTAGAAGGCGCTGACACGGCGTCGTCGTCGAGGCCGAGGAGAGCAGTCGCGGACACAGATGGTGGCGCTGGTCTGGTCCTCTTGCGGCTCGCAGCCGGTCGACGAGGGGTCGCAGGCTTGGACGCCATGTCTTCAGCTTCGGTATCTGCACTTCTTTCGGTCTTTCGAGTCATCGAGATGATCGGAATTGTCAATCACCGCGTCGTGGGTGGAGGCGCGGAGACTCGTGATGCGGCTTGAGGGAGGTGGGGGGGCATTTGCGTGGATGCGCAGAAGCGCGTTCGCCCGGGTCACAACCAAAGCTTTGGACGGCGTGATAGGTCTACAAGCTCTCGACGAATGCCTCTGGGTATTGTAGGGATCTGGCCGGATTCAAACTGCAGGTTGTAGAGTCTCCTCACGAAAACATAGTCAACGCGTGAAGTTGGAACGCACGGACCTGGTTGCCCCCTTAATCGCAAGCGCACCTCGCGCACCTACCAGCCTGGCCTTGTCTGTGTGCCCACTTCACCCAGGCCAGAGGCCAAAGGTGGGCCATGCCGGAACGTCAAGGTGGGTGCCGCCCCACACTCCAGCGTGAGGCAGGGGGAGGGGGAGGGGGGCCTGGGGGCTCTGCCCGTCACGGCTTAGTCATTTATCTTGACATGTTGAGCAGAGTCGACATGGCCTATTCGTTGCACATCGAACAGTACCAAGTACCAAGCATGCGATGACTGTGAGTGCCATCTGGAACAGCTCCATTCTTTCCTTGTGGCGCTCGTGGCATTATCTTCCACCGGCATTCAATTGCAAGCTGGCAATATCTTGCCTCATGGTGACCCCAAATGGACGAACACGCATCGCGTTGCGGCACTTACCCCCGACGAGGTGGCAAAAGAAAAACAAAGAGCATCCTTTGAAGCCAACAGCAAAAACCAGAACTCAATCAGTGAGGAGCAAGACATCTTTGGTAGGAGAAGGAAACATGTCTTTGAGGTTCTAATTCTCGTAGGGCTGCCCATTGACCTACGTAGTCCGACCTCGCTCTCCGCAACACCACTAGCAATGACAGGAGATACATGTTCTAGCCGCCAAATCGTCCAAACACCAGGGCCGGGGGGGAAGCAGCCAATCAGGCCATGAGCGCAAATCCATTGCTGTCCCTAACCTCAATGCCACGCCTCCCAATGCGGAGCTCGTTTGACGCCAGCCTGCCCAGGGGAAAGAGAGATTCTTTATTGATTCAATTTACCCCAGGTTTCCACTACTGTCGATCCCGTCACCTTACTCAAGTCCGTGTCACTCTGCGACAAGAGGCAAAGCTTACCCCGGCCCTTGTCCCCTCCCGCCGAGCAGCCATTTGAGCCGCCTACTAGTCGACCATAGCAGTGTAGACGACCTGTTCCATTCGAGACAAGACAGGGATGCCATCATTTGTTTGCCTGGCGCAGTCCCGGTGGCAGCCGCCCATTCTTCAGCAAAGTTCAATCAGGTGTAGCATAGAAATTCATGTGTTGAAAAGTGGAATGCGTGTCTCTCCTGTATTAGAACCAAACACCAGCTCATCTTGACCTGCGGTCCGCCCCTATCTGCATGCAATAGTGCCTTCCACGCGAACAGATGCGTCTTTTTTCCCTTCTTCCATGCTAACAATGGACAAGAGCCACCAATGTGCGAAAAACTTCGCTCCTCTCACAAACGCCGTTGTCAAAGTGAAGTGATGTGAAAAATAGACCACAGCAGCATCCCGTCTGCGACATCCAGCAGCAGAACAAGACCTACAACCTGAATGAATCATGAAGCCATGTCCAACTCAGTGGTAGAAAAGTGAAGTGAGGTCAAAATTGAATTCGAAAAGATCCACCCGCCTCGTCCAAACGCCGTATACGCTATGCTCTCAAAATACATGCTCAAAAAGTACTTAAACAGGCAACAAAAAGGGTGACGTGAAAGGGGGGTTGGCTCTTTTCGAGTATCAAGCTAAAGCGATGCTTTAGTTGAGAACCGTAGAATTTCGGGCCGGTTGGGGTATCATGAAATATCATGAGGATTGAAGGGGGTATCATATGCAAAGGGTGGTTTGGGACTCAGCCGAGCGTGCGTCCACTGAGGATAGGCGACGGTTGTGGTTGGGTATGAGTGCTGGAAGTGCGTGGAGTGGTAGGGCTAGATCGTATGGTTGAGCCGGCGCTGAAAGTGGGCACGGTATAGCTCGGTGGACGAGAGGGATCCCAGCTCTCCTCACTGAGCGCACTGAGATACCCATTGCCCACTTTGTCCCGAAGCGCCTCGATCTTCTGGCGGTATAGTTCGCCGCTGACGTCCCATTCTTGGGAATCCTTCCAACCATTCATTCCGTTGTCGGATGTGTAAAGAGGAGGAAGCTCAGGCACCACGGTCGCATCAAATCGTGGCACTCCTGGCTGGGAGGTCCCCTTTCGGGTATCGGACAGGACCACGGGAGGAAGTAACTGCTCCTTCGGCAGTTGAGTCGTCCGATGGATATCTGAAATGGGCTTGGGGGTCGGGACATCCTCCGTCACTACCCTGATACCTGCAGAAGCAGAAGGCGACACGGCTGGGGCAGCGGCGGCGGTCAAGGCGGTTTCTGGGGTCGCAAGGTCGACAATGCGTCGCTTTGGCGCCTTTCGACGTCTGGTCGAGCTGGTGTTGACTTCGCTGGTGACGGCCTTGGGTGTGGGCCGTTCCTTCCGCGATGAGGAGAGGGATTCCACGGGCTCATCGTATATGATCGCAGGCTTGCTGACATCAACCGCAGGCAGATCGGCGGTTGGGGCCTTGACAACTGGCACTGCAGCAGGGACTGGCGCTCTCTCAACAAGGTATCGCCGTTCCGAGTAGCTAGGGCCTACATTGTCGATCACAATATCTTCTGTGTAGCCCGGCGTTTTCCGGAACAGATTGAATATCGTAATTCGGTAGTCCCGATGTGTTTTAGTGAACGGGTTCCCCTCGACCCAGATCTCGCGAATGTCGGGGATACCGGTGAGTCTGGCAACCTCCAGCGGGTCAGTTATACGATTGTCCCTCAGATCAAGACGCTCTAACGGATACAGCTTCTCGACGCCGGCCAGCGACTGAAGGCGATTGCCGCGAAGGTTCAGAGCGGTGATGGCCGGCAGCGGGTTTCGGGTCAGAGAGTGTAGCGAGTCGATCATGCAGTGAGACAGGTTTAGGGCTCGAAGTGCGGTCAGGGTGGCAAGACTGTCGGGGATTTGCACGAATAAGTTCGAGGACAGGTCGAGGGAGTGCAGTGTGTTGGCCAGCGGGGCCAAGCTCGAGGCGGGAATCGATGTCATGGAGTTATCGGGCAAGCTCAAATGTTTGAGGAAGCGCCACTTCGAGGCCGGCAAGATGCCCATATTGAGCATATTGGACGAGCTCCCTGGACGAGCGTGATGCCAAGAGTCGGACAGGCTGGAATGCGAGCTCCCTGAGCCGGATCTCCGGACTTTATGGCCACCTCGTACGTTGGTTGAGGTGTTGCGGGAGGCCATAGGTCGCGTCGGAGAGTTGCTACGCGGCCTATTGGACTTTGTCGGGGACCTGGGTTCGTCTGTTTCGGCCCTAGCGAGAGACATTCGCCTGCCGTCTCCAGAGCCAACCTCCAGAGTATGGTCACTGGGAGTCATGGAGCCAACCCGCAAGTCCCCATGACTTTGGGGATCAGGAGAACCCGGTGCAGAGGCAGAACGGTGGAGCTCGGCATGCGTTGTGTTGGGACTGCGTCGCGGACTAGTACTCGTAGGCCACGGCGTCGTTGGGGAGGATTGCGACTTCGAGGTGCGTCTTCGACGTTTATCCATGTCATCCAGGACAATGTCAATAAGGATGTCAGCAGGATCGTCCACGCCAGCACGCTTCAGCGTCAAAGAGCGAAGCTGGTCGGCGAGACGGTCCCAGCCAAAGAACTGCCGGAAGTCTATGCTGCTGACCTCGAGAGCTTGGACGTTCTTGAAGACATAAAGTGGCACAGCTGAATCGAACGGAAACTCCTCATAGCCACGAATCAGGCGGGCGCGCCAGTCAGGCGAAAGCCGGAGGCAGGGAATCTTGGTGAATGCGGAGTAGAGATATTTTAGATCGGCTTGTAGAGCAGCCTTCTGCCTCTCTGTGCGAGCTGCCGAGATACTGGCACCGATGCCAAAACTGGCCCAGAGAGCAGACATGCCAGACACAACGCTTCGCACACTGGACACCGAGTGAATGGAGCCAACATCAGATTCGCGGCTCCGAGAGCGCTGAGTGTTGCCGAGGAAGGACACATAATTGGCCGAGGTCGAACTGTCATGCAGATTCTCAAGCCTAATCTTCATGGGTCCAACAGGAGTGCCGAGTTCCTCGAATCGAGAAAGAAGATAGAATAGGTGATGAGGGGTCAGCGCAAGCTTGGCTGACTTGGCGCTGTGTGATGTGAAGCTCAAGGAGCCCAGTGATAGGGCAGCGGCAAGCCCGGAAGAGGTAGAAGCAGACGTCGATGGCCGTTCGGGGAGTGTTGAAGGCGACTGGGGCACCGTGACAGAACTTACGCTCTGCGAAGAGCCATGGCGGGAGACAGTCTGTCGTCTGAACTGTAGAGCATTGGCAAGTGCCTTTTCGTGCGTGCGCACAAAACTGGCCAATTGCTGACAAGAGTGTTAGACGCAAGGAGAACCATTCGGAGGAGATTGCGGACGTACTTTAATGAAAAACTCCCCGTCTTCGGAATCCATCTTCATTCAAGGAGATGAACGCATCAGGGGCTGGCTGTTAGATGTTGTTTTGTCGGATATTACAGGATGGAGGTGCCGACAGAGAACAGCGAAGTCTTGCCGGAAGGTTCTCGATGTCAAGAAGCGCGGAGTGTCGGAATCGGCAGCACCGAGACCTGTTTGATAGAACCTGTTAGTTGAAAGTCCTTGGTTGATTCCCTTGATTCAAAAGAGCATGATCTGGTCATCAGGCAGAGAGCCCGTTCTCGCTGATATAACGCAACGCTGCGAGGTTTTTCCAGGTACGGTTCGAGGGACAAGACCAAATGGTTGGACACAGCGTTTCGCCATGTAGCACTGGTGGTGCAAAAGAAGGGCAAGTGCAAGGTAAATGATGAACCGAAAGACGCTGACGGGCTCGCGGCCGTGGCGAGTAACGTCGAACGTACGCAGGCACACGAGTCGGACACTCTCACGACATTGGACAGGCAAGTGTGTGCGAGGCGATAGGTTTGCACAGTTGGCCACTGATACCATGAACAGGATGCAGAATGAAGCGATCACAGGCGGTGCGGAGTTGAGCAGCAGGCATAGTGTTGCAAAGCAGCCGGGTCGAGTCGAGTCGAGTGAAGCGGGAACCCATTCAGTCGGACAGAGTGATACAAGAAAAAGCAGGCAGCGCAAAAATCGAACGGCGTGACTTACCACGTACGATAAGAGAAAGAGTCTTCTTCGAATCTACTATCGAAGTTCTCCTTTTGTTCAGTACCCGTGTTCGATACCGGCAATCTAGATGCCTCGCGGTCGTGGACTGGAGGAGTGAGGCTCGGGGGTCGAGTTGAGGGTCGGAGGTTGGCTTCGGAGGCCTTGAAGACGGGGAGAAGGAGGGCGACGAGATAAGGTAGTCGCAGGTCGAGAGGTAGGTAGGGAGGATCGAAGGGACGCGATTTGGGTACCCGGCTCTGGATCCCCTCCGCGATGATGCTCGCTCTACTCTGGCTGCACTGAAGACAGCGACAGTGACGGAGTGAGGGAAAAGAAGGGGTCTTTTTTCGGTGATGGAGGGGAGGCTGGAAGGGGTCTGGGTTTAATAATAACAATGGGCAAGTGCCTGCCAAAATCTGCTGCGCGCTGGATGGGGGACTTCAGGCCTGGCACTGGGCAATGGGCGATGCGCGATGGGCAACATGGGGGGGGGGCGTGGGCAGGGGACCTGGGATTTCTGAAAGTCAGGGAAGCCCCTTCGGTTACCCCCAATGCCTTGATGACCTGAAATGTTCGTGGCGGCAGCAGCGACAGCAAGACATCAAGCACGACTGCCTGCGAGTGACTGGTGGGCTCGTGCAGAGATGGGCGCACCAGGGTACCCTGAACATGTTCCACACGTCTCCACTGGCAACGCTAGCGCAGACCCTGGCATCCTGGCGAGCGGGCGGGTCATTTGCTGATTGACTGAGCAGTTGGGCTTGGCGCTTTGTACATGTACCGGGTACTTTGGGACGAATGCGACGCCAGTAGGCATGCCCGTAGTGGGTTTTCTTCGCTCATCTCGCCCGTTTGCCGCCGCAGAGGAAGCGACGACGAGGTGCCAACAGCAGCTGCACCACCCAAACCGCGATCACCCAGCACCCGGCCTGTGGAGGCATCATTGGCTGTTGTGGCTGCTCTCGTCGCTCCTGCTGCTGCACGACTTTCATGCTCCTGCCTCATGCTTCATGCCTCACCTCGACGGACGAGATGCACCAGCACTGCACGGCTGCACGGCTGCTGCACGGTCTTTCTTCTTGCATCTGTCCCTTTTCCTAACCCACCTCATCTCCCCGAACGAACCTCGCTGCTAAAGGCATCACGATACAGTCAGCTCTGCTGCCCGCCTTCTCCTTGTTCCTGTTCTTGGGCACAAGGTTCTCTCTGGATGGTATCAGCGCCCCAGCCATATGACAGCCCAGCCTCGCTCATGACCACAGCCCAACGATCAGCTGAGTGTCGCTGCCGCGCAAGTCACGATTGCAGTCGAGAGATTCGGGCCTCTCGTGTCTTGGGCCTCGAGGACGTGCGACGTGGGGCGTGAAGGGTGGGTGGCACATTGTGATGTGCCCAGGATGGCCCGGACCACCATCTCTTCCTCTCGATCTCCCAGTCTCTCTCTCACTTTCTACCCTTCCGCCCCCCCTCCTGGTGGTTGTGTACAGGCAGGTGTGTGGGTGTGTGGGTTAGATTTGTAGCCTGCTCACCTGCTGTCTTGGCAACGCAGCAGGATGCGCAGATGGAGAAACATTCCGCTGCCGAAGCGACTGGCGTGACCTGTTTGCCCAGTCACGAAATGTGAGCATACATCGTGAATCTCATCGACTGGTGTCGTGGTTGGCATTGTGGGCACGATGACATCGACGAGCAGATTGTCGCGCGCTTCGTCCGAAGCCCAATGCCGCTCGACGACCAGTCGCCATGCGAACACCTCTAGCAGATCCACCAGACCGCTTGTCGGTACATCTGTCGGAATTCATGAGGCTGACGATGCACGATGCAAACAGACGGTGAAGGTCAAATTGGAGCTCATCGCGCGCGCAAGAGTCAGTCGAGGAATATCGTCAGACGGCGATCGACCTCTGACAGGCACGGCGTGGCCGTGAACCACTCCGCCGTGGAGACGGCCGATGGTACCGACGCGGTCACAAACCAGCTCCGGAGAAGCCAAGAGCCTTCGAGCCTTGTTTTCGAGACTCAGTACCCTTCGCGCTTTTCGAAGGGAGATTCCACTTTCATGCGCACCAGCATCAGGGATCGTCGCACCCCTCCTGTTTACCGTATGCTACTTGGCACGCTACCAAGGAAAACATATGGGGCTTTCGTCGGAAACAACGCCCGCCGCCTCGGGTACCCGAATTCCCCTCGTTACGACAACAAAGGACAGAAGACAGACAACATGCCACTGCACTGACGAAGCTGTTTGATGCCAGCCGTCCACATGGGAAGATGCTCGCTCGACATTCCAATCAGGTAGGGCACGACACGGCGCGGAAGACATGGTAATCAGCCTCGAACACGCGTAACGACAAATCAGCGTTGCCGACCGGCCAAATCTTGAACACCTACAATCACACCTCATTTCCTCGCCGCCTTCTCTAGTCGGCACGAGACATGCCATGCCCTTTGATGCCGTCTCCATCGATTTCCGAGTGGTGTCTTGCTTCTGCCAGTCTCAACTCTGCCGAATGGCCTGCGCTGTGTCTGGCATGACAGGCGCACGCCAAGGGCAACTCTAACAAGTAAGTTAGTGTTCTCAGCGCTATTGCATCCTACGGCGTCTTCGGCCGCTTTGCCAGTATTGTCCCAATATCAAATCGTTGCCAACTTATCGCCCATTTGAGCCATCTACGCACGCCATGCCCCAACCAGGAAATCACGGGCCCGTCATGGCGAGCTCTCGGCTGCGGGCACAGTGCAGAGCCAGCCTTGTAAAAGTTGTCACGACTCGTCCCGCTTGTTCCCGCCGACGATCCCTCCAACCCCCCTTCCGCACATCGTGTCCTTATAATGGCGCTTTTGGGGGTGTCATCTGCTCTTCGGAAACGGGCTTTGATTCCCCCTGGCTTCACATGAGCTCCTCGTTGCATGGTGCGCACATATTGAGTGTACGTTGCTCATAAGCAATGCGCCACCAAATCCCGTTGCAGGAGTGTCCAGGAGAACCAGTTGGGACTCTCCGAGCAGATTTTCGCGAATATAACATATTTCTCCAGCCAGCGCATTCTCGAGATGCAAATCCTCGGCACCAGACGACAATTATGTCATGGCCCACCGTACCAGATGCCGCGATGCTGGTTGATTGGCAAATTGGGAACAAATACTGATGCACGGTAGGCCTCGTTGTTTGGCGCGATGGATGTCATCTTGCTGGTACAACCCCTGCAATGGCCCCTCCACCCCACCAGGTCACAACTACATGGGGCACACCTCACACCTGCAGCCACGCCGTATTCGTGCAAGGCGTCCTACCCTATACTCCGACTCAGTCGGTGACTAAAGCACAGCGATCACCACCCAGGCCTCCAAATCCCGTGCCAAACGGCCGCGTATATGGTACTCCAAGAAAAAAATCGCGGTCTTACGCGGGGTTGCGTTAATTGTTCATATAGATATTGCGCCCAGATCTGCTCCACGAGGACCGTCGAGCTGGATCAAGCGTGACGCGCAATTTGTCATGGAGGTGAAGCATACAAAAAGCTTGCCATCCCAACATGCAAGCAACAGACAGATTGATGTGTATGGGTTGTCGAGCTACCGTACGCCCTGAACCGAATGAATCATCAACCCTCCTGCAAGTAGAGATCCTCACCGCCCCTGGATCGTCAGGTCAGGGCCGTTGTTCTGGTGGAAGGAGGCTTTGATATGGAATGCGCGCCCATCTGCTGTTTCTCGTGGTGGTTGCCGCGCTGATCACACCACGATTGATTGTCCCACTCCAGGCTTCATTTTCAAGGAAAGGTGGTGTGCGTTCAATGCATCCTCTGAGGCTCGTGGTGCCGGGGCTGCCGTTGGACTCTCTCGTCATGTGGTCTCTTTCATGTAGACATGTCTTCGCACGTTCGAAGCATGAGCCGCCAGGGCTGATGACGGCCAGACAGTGGGTCAGGAGCAGTGCCCATCTTGCAGTGATACAGCGAGTCGCACCTGATAAAACGACAATCAGAAGAGACTATCATTACAGACATGTCGAATGATTTCGCCATCCAAAACTATGTCCTATCGACGCTTGAATGGATCAGTGTGTCGCGGATTCGATTCTGCGGCCGCTGAGCCCAGAAACTTGATGGGATCAGCGGCGGAGGGCACAGTCTAGTAAGAGGACCCCTCACCTGTCGTGCAACCCCCCTAGAACGGTGAAACAAGGGCCAAACCAAGAGACCGGCCGACCGATAATTCAGCCTTTTGACTGCAGCGGCTGCATCAACTGCAGTAGTCGTGAATCACGCGCCGCGGACACGGAAGCAAGGGCGTGAGACATGCTCTACTACTCTCAGCTGATTGTTGTCGATGGGACGGTTGAGCATGTCGATGGTACTGGAATGGTCCCCAATCATCGATGTCTCAAGGGCCGTCCAGAGGTGAATTGCCAGAACGCGGGCCAGTGAGGACGATGCATAGTCGGCTCCTGAACAAATGGTGCTCCATTGTCTCAGCCAATGGATCGTGTGGGCAGCACACATTGGCCTTCCTGATGTAGTCGCTTGACTCGTGGGGCAGTCATCCTCATCCCAGGAACGTCTTGGCTGTCGGACAGAGCGGATAGGCCAAGTGAGGTCGAATCCAGGAGATGTGCCACACTGCACACGTCAACCTGGTTTCTACGTTGCTCTTGCAACCATGATGGCCATTCTAGGTCAAAGATTGCTCGTGCTTAGGGGTCCATGAGGGGTCCTCGGAGGCATTGGAGGGGATCGCTAACCAGGGCTATCAAGACGTCGCTCCGAGGCGCATACACACTGTTTTCCTCCCCTGGCTCTTGGCTGACGGGTCCGAAAGAAGAAGCGCCTTTCGCGCCTGTCGCAGAATTCCATCGAACAACTTGTCGACGGAAGCACAGAAACCCCAGATTTCCGACCTGCAGGCCAAACCACTGCAGAAGACAGGAGAATGAAGGCATTGGAATGTAAGAGAAGCAACCTCATGTTGGTGGCCACGCTTTCCGCAGGGCGATACGCGCCGCTCGCTCACCGCTTCGTCGCAGGAGGCTCTTTGCCCCTCAAATCCCTGCGCGCTCACACACCTCCTGCAAGGCAAGATGTCTTGGGTTGCGCAACTGGAATGTGTGGAGGGCACGATGCGCCGCATTGGTCTGGGGTTCTACGGGGGCCTGCTCATATCTCACCTATCATCCTCGCAGATTGAGAGGTAACGTTGAGACTGGTCCACCGGGGGAGGCCAGGGAGTTTGGCGATGTGGCGGCTGGTTCCCATACAGGCAATTGAGGCCGCTGTCGGCTTATGACGAACAATGAGGGGCAGTAACAGGACCCTTGCTTCCCCTCTCTCGATCTCGTGGGGGCGAGTGAGCCAGCTGCAGACCGTGGTTGGTGTAATGAGCTGGGATGACCAACCTCGAGCTAAGATGCGGCCGCGACCGCACCAGGCTGTGTCAAACCTCATCTTCACTTTTTCTTCCCATCTGTGATGCGGCTCATGTTCTCGTCGATGAAATTCCTGTCCACGTTGATAAAGCTCAGCGTCTTCAGGCAGGGCGCTTCACGATCGATCATGGTCGTGGTTCTGCCTCCGTAAGATACGAGATGATTCCGCCTCTATACGGAAAAGCCTACGCAAAGATACCTGTTGGGTTTTCGACTCCAGAAATGGCCTCCCTCAGATGGTCACAGGAGGTTGCCACCCCGCGATCCAACGCTTGCTGATCGACGAGGACCGCTCGACGAAAAAGACGAAGTACCAAGGACACGGATGGCGCCAGACGACTCAGAAGCAGACTTGAGACCACCGGCAACTTATCGAACGAAATCTCATTATGCCCATTGGAGCTAGCGGGAAGCAAGGTGCCCCCCACGTCTGTCAATTACATGGTACGACGCTGCAGACCAACGGCCTGCATGACCCTTGAACCATGGACATCACCCTTCTCGCACCACCCCCATCACCTCTCTGGTCGTCTGTACCTCCCGGATTCCCCCGCCACGAATGATCCTGCTCTGCAGATGAATTTCCGTCAAGACCAACGCGTATCGAGCGTCTCGACACCACATCGCTCTCTTTCGCGAAAGCGCGGGCTGCTGGACAGTTCGCTTAATGGTGCGACTAAGTCAGGGAGTCACGGTCACGGAACGCAGCCTCTCGAGGTTATCGACAACCGAGACGCACAGCATGATGCAGTAGTTACGCAGGCTTGGGGCTTGAAGCACGATACTCGAGATTATGCCTCATTTCTTGGTGCCGACACCCTGCCCTGTGGTATAGGTGCTCGTACGAGTTTCCTTTATTCGGTCCTTTGGGGCCAGGCTAGCGAGTAAACTGTGGGAAGTCATTGCCTCTAACCTCTTGCGTTCTGACGAGGAGATCAGACTTCTGGCTTGAAGTGATACCGTCTGCAAGTGAGGCCATTCGCAGATAGAGAGGGAGATTCTGGATTTTTGGCGTGCCGGATGCCTGTCGAGCCCAAGAGAAACGATGACCAGATCCAGAGTCTGGTTTACCCCACCTGCTGTGTCGGGTTGGTTTCTGGCCATTGTGGCGGGGCATCCATCCCATGTACCTCGTACAATAGCTTCGAACAGCGTCACGTGGAACACTCCACCACAAAATATAACAACCAAGGCCAACGATGGCTGTAAGGCTCATGGCTGGGATCCTGGACCCGTTCGTCCGTCAATTCAACCTAGTTCATAAAAGCCCTCCTGAATACCGTCAGGAACATGAACGACGCTGAGAATGGTGACACGTTGTTGGTAGGCAAGGATAGCCTCGTTTTGCGAGAAGGCTCTTCCCTGAGGCTGACTGACCGCCACAGATCGCCAACGCTTTTCTACAACCACTGACCATCATGGCCATCCCTTGACTGCTCGCTCGACGGGCTGGGAGTCCGAGTGGACCCTGGCGCTAACTTCCAACTTTTCTTCCTTTTCTGGCTTTTGTTTACCATGAGAATTCCTACCTAATTACCTACCTAGGTAGTAGGTAGCCAGCCACCTTGGTCACCCACGCTATATTCTTCCGCCGTAGATGGACCCCCGTCTTCCCCATCTGCTGAATCTCGATCGATCGGACATGTCTGGAAATCCCATCCCTTGGCTTCCTGATATAGCTGTGACAGCACACACGATGGGCCCCTCTCTCGGTGCCGGCCATCCTCCCGCCTCCCCCCCTTTTCTCGTTTCCTCGTTTCCTCGGGGGATTAACATTCGCGTGGACTGGGGGCTCGCGCGCGTGTCATTGACCCTCCCTGGTAGGACGGTGAGCATATGCCGTCCCTTGCTGACCAGTCGCTTTCCTGTAGGCCCTGTCGCGATCATCAGGGGGTTGTGCGGTGATCGCAAAGCTTGGTGTTTTGGCGGGGTCTTCCTCCTTAGGCGACCAACCCCTTATGCAGCTGTTAAGCTCACCTCCCTTGCTTTTCTGATGAAGAGGGGTTGCTGCGGCCTTCCGGTCGTTGCAGAGTGAGGCGTTCCATTGTGCCGATGGCGAGCGGTCTGGTGTCGAGGAGACTCTCGGTCGTCTGTGCCATCCTGCATGGCACGCAAGCGAGGTGGCTACGGCTCCAAAACAGGGCGCCTGACTGCATCTGCCGAGATGTTTGCTGAGGGGAACAAAGCCGTCGAACGAGCTTCGCCTAGGATGTTGAGTGAAAATTCTGTTCCCAGAAGTGTATCGTTGCTGAGTATACTGCTGGCTGTTGGTCCTGTGCCCTTGGCCCCCGACGTGAGGCCTTCGAGGCCCCGATCTATCGTCTCCTGCGGCCAACACACGGCCTCCGCCTCACTTGTATCCTTCATGGCGACAGCTTGGCTGGTTCCTCGTCGTTGTGGGCGCGGGGGTCTTCACGATGCTCGTCATCGGCGAGGGGTAGGTAGCGCCGCGAATCTCGCATGATGTACACTTTGTCTATGCCGTTTCCTATGGTACAATATTGAGAATACACACATGTTTGCTTTGAGCCTTGGGAGCGCCTCACAAGGCTCCTTCCCTGCGAGGCCTACCGCGGCCTCTACTGCCCCTGCTTCTCGATACGGACGAGCTTCTGCAGCGCCAGCCCGTCGTCGAGCGCCCAGCCGGTGGCGACGTCGAGCTTGCACTTGCGGTCGCCGACGGTCATCTTGACAAAGCCGCCGCCGGTCAGCGCCCTCCTGACGCCCTCCCAGGCCATCTTGGCGCCGCGCCAGGCGTCGCGGAAGGGCATGGTCAGCAGCCTCTGCTTGTCGGCCTCCCACTTTGCCTTGGCGGCGGCCTTTTCCCGGTCCCGGATGCTGCGCAGCTGCGCCTCGGTGACGCGGGGCTCGAACAGGCGGCGGCGCAGCGTGACCTCCTCGGGCGCGACGAGCAGGACCTTGGGCTTGCGCAGGAACGGCGCCCACGGCTTGACGGCGACCTCGAGCAGGACGGGCGTCAGGCGCGGGTTGACGCCCGGCGGCAGGGCCCTGCCGACCAGGGTCGCGGTCGGCACGGCGCGCACGGCGCGCACAATGTTGGCGGCGCCGAAGACGAAGAAGGACCCCATGCCCGCGAGCGCGACGCACGTCATGGTGTAGACGTTGGGCACGAACCACGCCGCGTCCGCGGGCGCCGTGAGGTACCAGTTCGCGACGGCCGCGGCGTAGCACGCCGAGGTTGTGGTCCAGGCCGTGGCCTTCATCCAAAAGTGCGACGCCGACTCGTAGAGGATTGTCGGGGAGGGCGAGCGCGCGAGCTGCAGGAGGAGAGGGTTCGTTGTCGTTGCCGCCGAGGGCAGGGGTGTGGCGGCGGCGGCGGCGCGAGGGGCCGCTGTTGGTTTGGGGGTTGATGTCGCCTTCGACGGTAGGATTCGTGTCGGCTTGTTGACGGCGAGCTTTGCCGGGGCGGATCTGCGCGCCGCGGCTTGGAAGCACGACAAGGTCGTGAATGTCCGGCTCGACGAGAAGGGTTGGCGGGCGGAGGAAAGCGGCCCTCGGAGGGCGACGCCCAAGGCAAGGCCCCTTGAGCAGGCAGCCATTGTGAACAGAGGAAGATCGAAGCGCCTGCAGCGAGGTATCGAAAAGCTCTGTGGTGATCCCAAGGGTTTCTCAGGCCACTGACAGCAGTTGCAGGTGAAGCTATCCAAAAAGTTCAAGAGGTCGCGACAGGGATTCGCGGGCCCACTTCAACTGGGCTCGCGGCTGTCCGTTGGCGACAGCTGCCCAGGACTACTGTCACTGTCACCATGTTGATACTTGTTATTGCTTCAACGACGACCACAATGGTCGCCAATGCGAATTTGTCTTTCCATGGCTCACTGGCAGAAGTAGAAAATGTTCTTGTTTGGAGTTTGTCTGCTATAGTCCTATTATGTAGTCTGATTTATGTCATTGGCGTTACACATGTTCACTTTGCGTCTCGTGGGACGACTTACACATTTACCTGGCCTCCCAATGTTGGTGTTCGGCCAGTCACCTGCTGCAGGCTGCTCGGCATATCGACGGTCGATCGTCTGTAACAATAACATACTTGAAAATTCTTGGGTTGAAGAGGCGGACATGGACGGATATATCGACGAAAACATGGGCGAGTTCCTATCAAGACTCGACCTCCACTGAGCTTTCTTCGACAGCTCTCCGCCTCACGAACGATAGTTCTGCCTTCTTTTCGAGCATGCTCTGTATTTTTGTAAGTTTTTGAACATGAATTTTGCCTCCTATGCTCGCTCGGCCATCTGGTCGTTGGTACAGGCCATCGCCACCTTCGAGCGAGAAGTATGAGGCTACACGGCTTTGCCCGTCGGGGATTTTACTTCCACAACACAAAAAAAAAAAAGAAAAAAATGCACGAGAAAGATCAGATGAGACGAGAATGATTGCTGATTGAGGTATTTGGCGGTGCTGCAAGCGGATTCTGTAGTTGGATGTCCAGCATCGAGTGAGACGCATCACAGCACGGAGCGGACGTAGTGGCCTGGCGAAATCAACGACAAGAATAGGACTTTATTCCGAATATCAAAGTCGTGATCGTTTCTACACTATGCTCTCCGGCGCATCATCGATGCTGTCGTGGCACGATCCCGAGAATCTGGCCATAGGGGGCCAAAGATATATGCCGAGAAAAGTGCAGCAAATTCGTGGGAGCAAAGTGCATAAGACTCACCTACCCCCCAACCCTGCGTCAGGGTTGGGGGACAGGTTGCGGTAGCTCCACGAGGCCCGAGCTATCGCTGAGCTTTTGCAGGCTTCCGGATTCGAACGTGCGGTCTTTGGGGGTTGCTTCGTTCGTTACCCACTGGGCTAGTGGGTTGTTGGGAGAAAAGGCAACTGTTTTGAATATAGAGGACTGTGGCTGGCTCTTGGTTGCTGCCTGGCATGTGTCTATCTGTTGTTGCCGATAGGGAGGCTCGCGAGGCAAAGCAGGCACGGAGCGCCGCCGCGTCCGTCAGGGACGACACCAAGGGGGGCGATACGGACGCAAACACGGGCCGCACTTCTTTTGCATAGCTCCATATACTGCATTTGGTTCGACACTAAGCTTGATCCTCTTTCTCCCACATCTGGAATTCATATCGCGTCCCATTCTCCTCCTGCTCTCCAGCGTCCACCTCCTCTCCAACCCAAGCATCCAGCTCCTCCTTGTCCCTCTTCACCCACCCCTCCGCCTGTCCCAGCTTCAGCGGGAAGAAGGCGTCACACTCAAACTCGGGCTCGCCCACCCGCGTCAGCAGAACCCGCCTCGCCTCCCTCCTCTCCAGCGAGGCGCCGTAGATCTGCGCCCCGCCAATGACGAAGACGCGGCCCAGCGGCCGCTGCCACCCCTCGAGGAACCGGACCGCCTCCTCCAGCGACGCCACCCTGACGGCGTCCTTCTCGACGTCTACCTCCTGCGCGGCACCGGCAATAGCAGAAGCGGCGGACCTGCTGATGACGACGTTGAGCCGCCCCTTGAGCGGCCGGAAGCGCGGCGGGATGCTCTCCCACGTCTTGCGGCCCATGATGACGGCGTTGAGGGCCGCGGGCGGGGCCGAGGCCGGCAGGTGCTTGGTGACGCGGGCAAAGTACGCCATCTCGCGCTTGAGGCCCGTCCAGGGGAGGGTGCCGTTGCGGCCGATGCCCATGGTGCGGGTCGCGGCCACGATGAGAGTGAGGTCGAGCGTGGGGGCGGGCGGCGGCATGGCTTGGTGTTGGTGAGCGAAAATGGCCTTTAATCAAATGAATTGATGCTCGGCGGTCTCGATAAATGACGCGCTAGCTGGGATCAACCGCAAGTCCAACGGCGATGAATAGTCCGGATGGCTGAGGGTATGTGGGTGGTGATGGAGTGAGGTCAAACGAGGTGGGGGCGTGATGGAGAGGGCGACTTTCGTAACGCGTTTTCGCGTCGTCTCAGTTAGACGTCGACATCATTGCTAGCCCAGCCCGCACAGTTCCAGGTTAACGACAGTCGCAGCCAAGTTGGTCCACCTTGCGACAATTGCAAAAGTGCCAGATGCCAAGGTCATGCAAATTATGACTGATCATTCAGAATTGCATTCCGATCACAACTTGACCCGTTGTGGCAATCTAAACCGCTCGTAGTATACAACTGATCCATGCTGGCGCTTTCTCGACATACTGCACGCATCGGCATCCCAACGCTACTATAATGCAGTACCATTGAGTACAACCGGCTCCGTCACGACTGATACAGTCGCAAACGTATCAATTCACAATTCTTTCATGTACTTGCTGTCTCCTCATCATGCGAATAGTTGCACATAACCTGCCTTCCATGCCAATCGACCCTCGCGCCCATGGCCGCCGATGTCTGCCAGATCCTGTTCAAATGTTCAATGAAACGATGCGCGTTCTCTTGCTGAGCCTTAACCCCGTCATTCACACGCTCCGAGACACATTCGTAGACGGTTACGATGGAGAACAGGATGGTGGCAGTCTTCATGAGAGCTACTTGGAACGTGAACAAGGTGTCCGAAAGAGGGATGTACGATCGATAGTAGGCGACAGCATCCAGGGCGAGGGCGAGTAAAGCGAGGAAGCAACAGGCGCAGAGGAAGCCAACGAGATACTCGGACAGAGGAGTCGGACAGAGGAGGAGATTTGTTGTTCTGGCTGCGTTGAGCTTGTCTTAATGTTGACGGGATTTCCGCACCCAACAGCCTGTAGTTGTCCATCGTGTAAGCGGAGAGTCGATGAAGATGCCATTCGATGCTCGTGCAACCTGTGATTTTGTCCTTGAAAGGTCCTGCAAGGTGACAACCAAGAAAAATGAGACCAAGAAGACCACAACAGTGGAGGACGTCGGGAATAGTGCGTGTATTATACATCCCGGTAAAGTCCCTACCTAGGTAAGGTAGGTACCTAGGTAAGGTAGTACAGTATATACACGGAAAGAGACCTGCAGGTGCCAAGGCCCATATTGGCCTTGAGCAGGAACGTAAAATGCGCCCGGTGGTCCTGCCCCCTATTCTCCCTCCCAATTTATCGGTCCTCGCCAGGTCGAAGCTGATTGACGCTCACCTAGGCCGAATCGCCCCCTTGGTCGACTCGCTCCATTTTCCGTGGATATACTGCCGCACCGTCTTGCCCCAAAACACAATCGGCACGGCAAGCGCTCCGATGACCAGCACCAGCACCAGAATCACGAGGCTCGACTGCACATTGACCTCCTTCTTCACCCACGCCATGAGGTTGATTCCGATGCCGAACGCCACCATGTCCCGCACAAAGTACTGCACCGCCAGCGACGCCGACGCCCATGGCGGGAACGCCTCGATGATCCACAACACGACCGCCACCTCGCCCGATACGTAGCTGAACATGCAGAGCCCGTACGACACGTAGTACAGCACGGCCGAACCGCCCGAGCTGGACCCCATGGCAAGAAGGACCTGGCAAAGTGCGCTCGAGAGCACCGGGAGCACGAAGCCCGGGAGGTACACCTCGGCGTGCCGCGTGCCGCCGTTGCGCAATGTGAAGTACCGGATCGACAGGCTGATGAGCGGACCCGACGCCGGGATGGCGAGGAGCGACCCGATGATGGCCGCCGCGCCGCGGTAGACGCCCGACATCCTCACCTCGTCGCGCGGCAGGTTGTGCTCAAAGTGCTCCTCGAGCATGAGCGTCGTGAAGATGACGCCGCTGAGGATCGTCGCCGAGAGCAGCGAGACCCAGACCAGCAGTGGGTTGCACATGCACAGCAGCATCTGCGCGTACACCACCAAGCCTGACTCCCACTGCGTGCCTGGCGCGCGCTCAATCTGGCGTCGCAGGGCCCAGTCGGACGGACCTGGCGTCTCGTCGTGGTTGTGTGGGCAGTCGGGGCCGCAGGGCACAGCCTCCCAGCTGTCATAGATGCGAACCTTCTCTGTGCTGCTCTGCACTAGGACCCTGCCGTTCAGGGCCACGGCGGGCCGGATGAAATACGTCTCGGGGATGAAGCAGTAGGATATGATGAAGACGGCCAGCAGGCCTCCACACCATGCCAGGTACACAGGGCGCCAGAGAACACTAGGCTTCAGAAAAAACGGCAACGCCATATGAAGACAGTTGACGAAGAAGGTCCCGAAAGCCCAAAAGACGGCGAATGCATATGGCCGCTCGTGAATGAAGGTCGCATCCACAATGATCAGTATTGCCTGACAACCGATAGTCAGCACACATCATATGAACACAGAGACCTGCAGACGACGGCCACTCACCACAGCAAATGTAGCACCTCCTGAAATACCCTGAATGCACGTAGCAGCCATGAGCTGGTAGAAGTTTCCCGCCATGGCAGCCCATAGAGTCATGAGTGTTACCGTGGCCGAAGCGATGAGCACGACAGGCCGTCGTCCAATGGCCGTGGAGAGGGGCGTGGCAATGATGTATCCCATACCAGCAGAAAAAGTCATGACGGACCGCAGGGACCTGGCACCGAGAGGCTTTAGCGTCTGCAGAAGGTGTTAGCCGGGCTCTTCAACTTCAAATTATCTGGAGAACAGACTTCGTCTGGGAACTCGAGTGCTAGACCAATCTGCATGCCAGTGGGCAGGTTGAGTGTGACCGTTGCCGTCATGGAGAATATGCACACACTGACGAGGGCGGCGATTCGGGTTTTGACCGTCCATGCCAGCGGATCACGCGGCGAGTTCGAGGGTATGGGCAGCTTCAGAAGCTCGCCAGACTCGGATATGAGAAAGACGCTACCGGAGATCTCTTCGGATGGCGCCGTTGAAGGGCGCATCGGAGGCCTGACATAGCTAGCCGCTGGTCTTGCTGGTAATGGCTCGGCTTCGCTGGCCGTGTCTGATGATTCGCTATCCGTTGACATTATGGGTTTGAGAGACGTTGGACTCTCCATGTTGGCGAAATTAGAAGGATTAGCAGCAATATGCCAATATAAAAAAGAGAAGAGATAATGCTGTGGATTACACAAGAACTGACTGCGCTTCCCCTGTCCAGAGTCAAGTCGCTGGGTTGGACCACCCTTAGGGAATGGAGGAGCCCGAGGCGAGGCCCATGGCCGCTTTTGTCCGGCTCTATCTTACCACTGCTTTCCCTTATGCTGACCCAGCCGAGGCAGAAAATGATCCGCGTCAACCAGAAATAATTCCTCGTCCACCTTCGGACGAAATCAAGGTTCGATGGGGAAACGGGCCATGTAACACATTGAAGTTGAAAACCCGATAGCCCCCATGGCGGACAGCGCCGTGGTCAAAACTCGCGGCACACGATCGAAATAAAGGTGTCGACCAGGGAAGTAGCTCCGCCATTTGTTTCCTTTGGGTCAAGTTCCTCGTTACTGATGTGGTGTGTCCGGGTCGCTCAAGTCCCGCGTAGGCCGCGTAGGTCACGAACCATATCCTGCCCGTGGCCCGTGGCCCATTCGCACAGGACCGCCCACCTACCGAACTTCCGAATACCTGGGACGAAATGCCCGAGCGGCGAGGGATAAGGTATAGCGAGTACTACACCACATGACTTGTGCGAAAGATTGACATGAACGTCTGGTCATCTCTCGGCGGAAACTCTAAATCGCAGTGACTTGATGGTTGGTGGTTGGTCAGTAGCTGAAACGTCCACGGCCATGGGCGAAACCATCCACCAACCCCAATTTGAGATCCTCCTCGATCTTGTTTGAAGATTGACGTGTCAATCCCTCCGATTCAACAACAATCCCTGGCCCATCACTACGATCGGGAATTCGATTAAGTAGCAGTGCTACGCCATTCGTGTTGTGCTCGGCTTCGGCCCGGTCAATGGGAACCTCAGTATCGAGCACGGACTGGAAGTGCAGGATCTCGAGCCGCCTAACATACAGCGAGGAATGATGGTCTTCCCCTGAAGATAAGTCGGTCTTGGGATATGTAGACGGCTTAATGAAACATACGCTCGCCCAGACAGAGGTTTGGGTGCGGATGGCCAGTCTTCTCGTTGGTACCTTCTCACACGGCGGCGAACTTCTACTGTATTCCCTTGCTCACGAGGAGTTGTTCCACACATACTGAGCGCCTGGACTTGTGATAGACCATTGGAAGATGCAGCAGAAGCGGCCTTGCTCTGCAGCGCAGTCTCAGGTGCTGCGTGACCATCATTGCATAACGTCAGGCGCAGTGATCTGAGCTGTTGGAGGCAGCAAAAGCCTACAGGCTGCAGACGAGGCGCAGAGCGCCCGAATGATGCCGGAGCCACAAGTGTTACAGCTTCTTTGCATGTCTTTCTAGCACTGTCCGTCTTCGAACGCAATGAGCGGCCAGCTCCGCATAGGTCTGTACTTCGCTAGCAACCGAAATTTCAAGCCAAACAACTCGGCAAGGGCCTCATCGATGTGTCCTGGTACATGTATAAGTTTCTTGCTCCTGCTCAAGATGGCCGACTCATCGCTGATCGTGTCTTCTTCGGGTTTTAGAAACTAGGTCCTAGACTTGACGTGGCAGGGGGCCCATTGCCAGAGGCACATGAATGCAACGGAAAGTTTAAGCGAAGCTGTGCTGTCTACACCATAGGCATAGCTGCAATTCGGTGAGGCTTGTATCACAAACTTCCGAAGACGAGTCTGTTGTCGTAGCGTGGGAGGTTCTGTGTGTAGGCGGCCCATCAGGATCTCCAGGTTGTCAGGATAAACGCAGAGCACATGTAAACGCTCAATAAAAACATCGGAGGAACTTGACGCTGATCCATGCTGCTGCATTGAAGAGCGGATGAATCGCTCTGGCTGTCAGCGATAGAAGCAGGCGAGTCACGCTGGCCTTACTACGCGATACACGACTCATTTCAACATGTTTACTCGCAGATGCCAACGTCGTCTGAGGGTGGAGACGAAGCTAAGGTATCCTTCTTTGGACGTCTGTGAGGGATGTAATAAATAAGTCAAACAAAGCAACAGCCAACAATTGTCGAGTTCCTCAAGTGGGCATGTTGGGCATGCTTGTTGTTGGCCGCTTCATGGGCACGAATCGAGACATCGTGCTGTTGTCAGCCATGCCAGGGACGGCTCATAGACTGGCGATCAAGCACCGGCTTTCTGGGGCATGTCACAAGTCAGCGACGCCGACAATGTATCGAACTAGGATGCAGGATAAATAGTGATGTTGCTGTGATGGTCCTGGGATGGTACTGCCTTGAATCTGGTCAAGGAGTGTTAACTGTTCTGCAAAATACCCTTGAATACATATATGCATGTAACGAACAGAGGTACAGGTGCATCGGCCGGAATCGGAACCGATTCTCGTCAACTGGTGGAATCCAACAAGTTTAACGCGGAATGGCCCGTGCACAGCGCCAAAGGTCCGGCGGATCCCAACAGCTTCTCGATTCGAGAGATAATCGCTGCTCACATTTTCGAGCACCCTCACCACGCAGCGCCCATCCCCTCCATTGAGCCTGCAACACCCTGGCCATGGCTTCACTCGCAACAGCTTGCCGCCTCTCGGCGAGGATAGTGCGCAGGGCACCAGCAGAGACGGCCATTCGAGGTGCGTTTGCTCTCCCAATTCTTTCCTCGTTCGCGCTCGTAGCGGGAGAGAACCCACTCGCAAATGTCCCTCGCTGACAATTGACCCGTTCTTCAGGATTCCGCTCCTCAGCACGATGCGCCGCCGCCCAGAACTTCACCATGCCTGCCCTGTCCCCGACCATGACAGAGGGCAACATCGCCACCTGGAAGGTCAAGGAGGGCGACAGCTTCGCCGCCGGCGACGTCCTCCTCGAGATCGAGACCGACAAGGCCACGATGGACGTTGAGGCCCAGGATGACGGCATTGTCTTCAAGATCATGTCCGGCGACGGCAGCAAGGCCGTCCAGGTCGGCACCCGCATCGCCGTCTTGGCCGAGGCTGGTGATGACGTCTCCCAACTCGAGGTCCCCGCCGACGAGTCCGCCGCCAGCAAGACGCCCCAGCCGGAGGAGAAGAAGAAGGAGGAGAAGCTCGAGGCCAACGCCGACGAGCAGGACAGGAGGGGCTCCCCTGCCGAGAAGAACACCGCCGACGGCAAGGTGCACAAGCAAAAGTACCCCTTGCTCCCCTCGGTCCAGAGCCTCGTCCACCAGCACGGCATCGACGCCGACACGCTCTCGAGCATCACGCCCACCGGCCCCCAGGGCCGCCTCCTCAAGGGCGACATCCTCGCCCACCTGGGCACCATCAACCGCGACACGCCGGCCAAGATCACCGAGCGCTTCGCCAAGCTCTCGGTCCTCGACCTCAGCAACATCAAGGTCGCCGAGAAGGCGCCCAACGCCACCCCGACCACGGGCCCCAAGCCCGTCCCCGAGCCCGCCGCCCCCGCCCCGCCGGCCAAGACCCAAGTCGCCCTCCCCATCTCCCTGGCCCACGTCGCTGAGGCCCAGCGCCGCATCCAGGACACCCTCGGCGTCTTCATGCCCGTCTCGACCTTCATCGCCCGCGCCGCCGACGTCGCCAACGACGACCTGCCCCCGGCCCCGCGCAAGCCCACCGCCTCCGACCTCTTCAACCAGGTCCTCGGCCTCGACACCGTCCGCCAGTCCGCCCACGCCACCCGCGGCCTCTACCTGCCGCAAATCTCCGCCCTGCCTGAGCCCACCTTCCTCGCGCCCCGCCCCTCGCGCCGCCAGCCCGACATCATCGACGTGCTCGCCGGCGGCCGCGGCGCCGCCCGCACCAAGGTCGCCCCCAAGCCTGCCGCCGCCGCGCGGGAGGGCGTCAACACGTCCGGGAGGAACCTGTTCACCCTCGTCGTGCCGAGGGGTGACGAGAAGCGCGCCGCCGTCTTCCTGGAGAGGATCAAGGTCATCCTCGAGAACGAGCCGGGACGCTTGGTGCTGTGAGTCAAGGGGGACGCGCGGGGCTGCGGGGGGACGGGTTGTTGATGAAAATGAGTGTACTTTTACCAATAGAGCAAATACATGAGGAAGTATTCCTAGTCTGGTTGTCATTTCACGTTCCAGCTGCGATGTCTCAGACAAACCTGACGGTTAGCACATGCGTCACGCCTCCCTGTTAGTTCAAGGTGTCGTTCTCTTGGGGAGCGAATGCACACAAGACAGGCGCAAGCAGTGAATTATGGTGTATTTAGTGATAGCGGCCTTCTGCTCGAATATTAATGCTGCGTAACATGCTCCTCCATCATCCGTCGTGATCTCGTCAGTCATCTGTCATCTAAAGGCAATACAACTCAGGACATAGAAGATGGACATAGACACACACACACAAGTCTCCAACAATACCCCAAACCCCGAGAAACCCTCTCCGTTCGTCGCAGATTGAGCAAAAAACAGCAACAACTACAACGGCAGCTTCTCAAGCCGGCTCACAGACGCAAGTCTGCCACCATACTTGGCTGCTCTTCCCATCCTTCCCAAGAGGCCTCGTCGCACCCATTTGGTCTCGTAGCTCGTACATGTCCAATATCCACACCTTTGACCTGCAGAGCCTCGCGCGGCCACCTGACCTCGGCATTGAATCCATGGCTCCAGGCCGTGTGCATCATGCTGTCCTCGAAGAGAGCCGGGCGCACCTTTCTCATACTCTTCAACGCCCGCTTGCCCACTTCGTCAACGGAATCATGATGTCTCAACTCAAAGAACGCTGGATCATGCGTCATGCGCAACCGAGTCTGGACTTCAAAGCTGTGTGCTCCCAGAGAAAGGAGAAACATGTCATACTGGCACAGACTCGTTCTACACATCCAGCTGCCCCCTTCGGTAGCGCGACGGTAGAGACCTGCCATGGCGGCGACGCAACCGAGAGCGCCGGTACCGTAGTCAGACATGGGAAAGGGTGGCACCACAGGCTCATTGAGGCCCATGAAGCGACCCTGCTCCCAGGCAACGCCGGTCACACAATCGGCGATTTGTTGCCAGCCAGGCCGATCAGACCAGACAGCTTGATCGGCAACTGGGGTGTCAGAGCCTCCAAAACAATCCTCCGCGACATAGACGTAGCCCTTGCCTCGAGCAGCAGCGAGCTTGGAAAGGCGATCCGGGCCATAGCCTAGTCGAGTCAGAACTCCAGGGCGGTAACCGTCCAGCACGACATCGGCGGAGGCGATGAGGGCCTCAAAGGCAAGGCGTTGAACTGGGTCGTGCAAGTGGAGAGAAGTAGTATGTTTGCCGGTATTGACATCGACTTGGAAAAAGGGAACATCGGGAAGGTAGGGAGATGTGACCTTTAAGACAGAGGCGCCATGTGATGCAAGAGTGCGACCGATTGTTGGGCCAGCGATTACTCGACATAGTTCGAGAACACGAATGCCACGCAGACACTGATTCAGAGATGAGGTCCCTGGACTGACAGGACATTGCTGGCCTAACGGCGCGGGAGCGGTGGAGGACTCGAAGGGTTGAATGGTAAAAGGGGGAAGCGCTGCGAGGGCCTGGCCTTGCGGTGTGGCACGGAATTGTTCCGCCGTGAGAACCGGCACGCCAGCTTGCGCCTCTTTTCGATTCATCTCTTCCAGCTCGTCTACTGTAAAGCGTCTGACCGCGGACTCGATGGTTTCGATGCACTCTCTGTAGTCCTGGAGACGAGGGTTGAAGGGCGGGAGGCCAATCATGCAGAGAGTTGCACTAGCGTCTAATGAGCCATGAATGTGGTAGAACTCTCCGGGAGTCTTGGTCTCGTAGAGATTTGCCGAGAGACGCCTGTAGAGAACTGTTTGTGCCTGGTTCAGATCTGTGTCTGGTGAAACGTCAATCATCCAGGGCTTAACACTAAGCAGCAGCAAAGTCAGGGGCGTACCTGGAATCTTGTTCTTAACGCGAGGGTCAGCCTTGTCCAAGCCGTCGACGGTACAGAGATAGGCAGACATTAGAAAGCAGGATATCAGTGGCATATCGACCGTGATATCTCTCGGTGATTGGTGGCCCTCTCTAAGATTTGCAAAGGCGGCTGCAGCCGCGCCTTCCAAGGCTTTGATCGCGGCTAGAGCCTCCTGTTCCTTGAGAGGAGAAGGAAAGTGAACATCGTCGTCTGGAGCGTCTTTGAAGACCAATCGACGCGGAGCATGGACGAAGGCTGACGGGAGTTGGCCTCGGCACGATGCCAGCAGGCTGGCCAAGGCTTGCTCAGTCCCCTGCTTGACCGAGTAAATCGGTGCTCTCCTTTGACAGGAGTCAAGCCGAATCACCACCATGATCAGATTGCGAAGCGTGTTCTGGACTTGTTTGACTTCGGCGGAAAGAAGTTGTGGAGGCAACAAAGTAATGAGTAATGCTAAAGTATACCGTGTGAGAAGCTTACTGCAGCCACATCGTGAATGCCGTCAAACGTCAAATGAATACAGACATGTACTGAAGACAAGCCAGTGATGAGGCAGACGAAGCTCAGCACGAACCCTGGGGTGACTCGAACAGGTCCTCAAGGGACAATAAAAGATGCGTGACGGGTGAGACTGTGCGTGATGAGAAGACAAAGGAAGCATTTGACATGCGGACCAGGGCCGGGACTCCAAGGAAACTGGCCCTTGGTGAAGGATACCACATCACACGTACGGAACAGGCGAGCGGAAGCAAGAGGATCCACAGCAGAGGGCGAAGTAGGTAGCTGGTAGTCCGCAGCGGCCTTACCGTGGTAACATGCTGATCATGGGCAGGTGATGCCTATTGTGGTCGGCTTGGAAGTAAGAGTTTCTTGGAGCGGACCAACGAGGAAGCTTGAACAGTAACGAGACCGAAGCTAAGCAGGGAGGCGGCGACCCGCCTTGCCGGGCACGAAGTGAACCGCCACTGACGGGACTGCCATGGTCGTCATGAAGCAGTCGGCGACGCACGGAAGCCTTACGGTTGGGATCTAGTGCCTCAACATGGGGGACGGACCAGAAACTAGTCCCGCCTGTCGTGGCGCGCCGCCCGGAAGAGGTCTGAAACCAGCGCGACGTCTTCTGTCATATCGATCGAGTGCGCTCGAATTGTAATGGATACTCTTCTCAAGTCAGCGGTTCTGAACAGAAAGGCGTTCCCATCCATGTTCCGAGGACTCCTCACCAATGCTTGTCGGCACATCCGGTGTAAGTTCACGACCCCGGCACATACCAGGCGCAGAGCGTCCAAGCAATCTTTCGTCATGCGTAATCTGTCACTGCCCCCCACCATGTTCTGTTCGACGTGCGCCTCGCGGGGCAACCGAAGCCCATGGCGAAATTCGTAAGGGAGCGACAGTAGTGGGGGACATTGATGTGAGCTCCGGGGCGGGAAAACGTCATGCATGAATCGCTACCATCGAGCTGTTGACTGCAAGAAATACAGGGGATCACCAGCAAAAGATAGCCGAGCAGCAGGTTGACTGCGTCACTTGAGCGCGACCCTGGCACTTGTCGTTCCGCTTGTGCAGATAGAGTCTGGAGCCACAGGTTGGCAACTGTGATCCGATGGCTCCAAGCAACCGGAATGTGGGGAAAGCAAGGACACCAGCGGGATCATGTGGCGTCTCGGTTGAGCACTCGTCCAAGAAATGGGTGCATTATCCGAGTATTTGTTTGGCCAGGCTCCGGGGCGGTCTGCAGAAACAGACTTGAACTGTCCCATGCTCGTCCCCTATGTTGACGCCCTTGCCACCGGGGATGTAGGTGCGAGGGGCTCCCGTTTCTCGACGCCTTGGTTGGGCAACAGTCTGCGGAGATCGCTCCGTGCGAGCCATTATCGGGCTCTTTCGCTACTCCAGATGGCGCTCGTAGTGTAGATTGGAGAAACAGGCAGTGCAGTATCGGGTCGAGGTCTACCAGACGTCACGGGACGGGCAGCCTGGAAGGGGGACACAGCCTTCCCTCTTGTGAATTGTTGTGCTTGAAGACGCGGGAGGCCAGAACAGGTGACGACGGCAGTGCATGCCCCCACGAATGGTATAGTAGCGAAACGAGGCGAAACGGAACTACGGAACGGGTACTATTGGTCTTTGGACGAGAAGGGTGCAAGGATGAGTGGTGGGACCAAAGTAACCAAGACGCAAACATGGGTGAGCGAACGAAGCTTGCGAAAGAAGACACAGCTAGTAAGAAGCCGGTTCGTCGTCACCAGGAGCGCGTCAATGCTGAGTCATTGGGGGTCCCAGGTGCACCTTCCGCTGCTCTCGGCATGAGGTGTGAAGAGGAAGGACATTTGCGTATCTACTTGCTTGTCTAAGGTACCTTGCCTAGGTAGGTAGGTAGGTACCTATGTAGGCAGGCAGGTACCTTGGGTTATAGGCACCTTGCTTTGCGCCAGTAGATGTATGTGTCTTTGCTTGCAGCTTGCGCCTTCTATTGCTTCGCGGACCGGACAAGTGCTTCTCGCTTGGTGGTAGCAGCTAATTTTCAGGCTATTCAGCACCTCAAGTCCCCTATGAGTGGAGACTTCCTACCTACCTAGGTACCCTGCCTACCCGTCAAGGTAGGTAGACAGCCAAGGTAGCAAGGGTAGTCAGGTAGGTGCACCCTAGGGAGATAATCCGAAGGCAAGTGCCTTGTATCTCCTCGAGGTTCGACCCGGGAAAATAACCCAGCGCTTGTCTGCCTTACGGTACCTACCTATACCTAGGTACGGTGCCTTGGGTATTTTGATTCCCACCACTTTATCCCACCCGATCCTCTTTGTTCATCTTCATACCCGTTTTCGGCACCATCATCAAGACGGTGGCATTTTTCGACCGAACCCTTCCTGTTCGGCCCTGCCACCAGCACGCCCCTGCCAGCTGCCGACCCCTGGCGTTCTGGCCACAGACTTGAGGCCAGGCCAGCCAGTGCCTCGAACCTGTTACCACACCACGTCCATCTCGTCAATCGAGACTCTGGGGTGTCACAGCTTTTGCCAAGGTAAATCAGGAAAGAAAACGGCTCAGCGTTCCGAACTTTGCTCTGGAGGGCGACCGCCTTACTCGAGCCATTTCAAGCGCGTGACCTGGCATGGACACCATGTTTCTTCGGCCAGCTTTCACTGTGCAAGCTGGCGAAGCAGCTGCCCACCCTTCAAAGGTGCCATCGCCGCAACCTACCTTCCCAACCCTTTGAAGATGACACCGGCTATAAATACGCAAAGCTCCTCGGATCGTACGACAACGCAACCAGGCAAACAGAGAGTCCTTGAGAGGATGGAGCCGACGGCTGCAATGCCAACAAACAAGATGAGAGCGAATCGCAGAGCGCTAGTCACATGGGAAGAAGTGCACCTATCGACCTATGGAAATGCACTGGTCACGTTGGGCGCCATGGTTCGCCACGATGTCGACCGTGAGCTGCATGCATGCCGTATGGCATGGCCTGACCATGCCATATAGACAAGGCCTATCATAGCTGTTCCGGGGCATCTCGACTTTGACCACACTTTTCTACTATTCCCCAGTACGACGTACCACGCGCCCGCCCGCCAGACTTTCTTGATTCGATGGGGGCCAAGCGCCGCAGCAAGTTCACCGACGTCGCACCATACTGTGCGTACTCCGTTTCTCTTTTCTCCGGATATGCAATTCTTTTGGGGAAGTGGTCAAGGTTCTTGGATCGCCTACCGACTTCCCAAAAAAATATGGCCTTGTCAATTATAAGACCCCATCTCACTAGGTTCAATCAGCGGCACCTCTCGGTGCTCCTCCGGATTTTATTCTTCTCGACAGGGACTTCTGCAAAGCGAGCAGGCCGCCTCTCCGTGTGCGACTGATTCTTCGAGAAGAGGATGGAAGAAGTTGGAACCCAATGAGCAAAGGCCAGAGATGGGCCCGTGGTTGAAGTTTGAACGTCGGTTGAAGCCTGCTTACCACCAAAGGTGTCAAAACCGGATCACGCTCACAGATCATATAAATTTGACGAGACCAACGGGCTAGCAAACCGCACATTGGCACAATAATCACCAACAGGAGGGAATGGAATTTGGGATGAGATGTTGAGGGCGGAGGACATGAAGTCGCTCGGGTCTCGACTCTGACCCCTGTCAATACAATTATCGCTATGGTGCTGGCTCGCTCTTGTTATCTCCTCTCGACGACACCACGACTGCGACCAGTGCCATTACATCGCTCACGGGACGGATCGCCTGCGCCCGGCCCTGGCCAGCCCTGGCGCCCGCCGTCAGCGAAAGTGATCCCCTCAATTATCCCTGTTCAACTCTACTTGATTGCCCCAAGCCCCCATCACTTAGCCATCTTCCCTCTTCCGATGGATCTGATCCACGGTCGTCGCGTTCTTCAACCACAGCCTTCTTCCCTCATTTCCCCCACAGCAGGCAGCGCATCCCCGCAGGCATGCCCCGAGTAGCCTAGCCACCGGTCCCTGCTAGACTCGTCATCGGGATCTTTGGCGCGATTCAGCTGCTCAACCCTGGCTGGCCTCGTCTGTTCACGCCATTTCTGTTTCCCTGTCATTGGGACACAGCTTTCGGGCGGCATTCGGTCCCCCGAATCCACAAGGCGGCACCTCGACTCACTTTACTCTTCACATCGCCTCGCTCTCATCCTACCCCATCCGCATCCAATTCCACATCAGCCCTGCTGTACCTCTGATCTTACGCCGTGACCAATCCGACTGGACTCTGGAAAGGACTGACTCGTTCGTCCTGTCTGGCTCTGCCCGCTGTGTGCCTCGAGCTGTCGCGGCTCAGCTCGCCAGCGCGACGGCAATGCTTACCTTGTCGACTTGCCCCTGCTGTCCGCCTTGCGCCTGATAGCTGGCTGCCCGTTCTGTCACATTCTCACCAGCTCGACTTTTCAAGTCCCCCTGCGTGCAGTAGTCCGTACATCCCGGCGCCGACCCGACTTCCGCGTTACGATCCCGCCCGACCCGATCTCGACTCATCTGCACTTGACACGACCCGGATCAGCCGCTGACTATCGGCACAGTCGGCGCTCTTCTGGCTGCTGCTGTTGCTACTGCTCCCCCACCGCTGCCGCTATTGGATGGTGTGTCCCTCGACGACCAAGCGACACAAGACAACGGGCCACCGACACGCGACATTTGACTGATGGGCCGTCAACAATATGACTCGGCCCAAGGTCCCGCCTGAGAAGCGCATTCGAACTGCTCAAGCTTGCGAAACGTGCAAGCGGCGAAAGCAGAAGGTGAGAAGATGGCGCATATTTCTCATTCTTTTCACATTCCCTCCCAATGCTTCCTTGTCTGTCTTGTGCCGCTCCGGCTTGAGTAGCTGTTGAGTTTTGCCTCCCACAACATCGTCGCGTTTGTCGTTCCGCACCCGAGGCACGGCCAAGTAGCCGCCTATGCTTTCCTTCCCTGATACCCGTCACTGCACGTCCAACGAAGCGCTCCGGCCGCGTCGTAAATTTGTACACCTGTGGCTCGTTAGGGTCTCACTACTTGAGCCTCAAACCGTTGCTTCGGCTAGGTGCCGCGCCGCCATTGACTCTCTTCAATCCTTCATCTCGGCCAGCGGCTGTTATGGCGCTGTCTCACCCAACTCTGACGTCGGAAGAACTCCCTTCTGGTGACCTCGACTTGGTCGCCAGCCGTTCCGAGGCGCTGTAGCGCCACACAAAGTCTCACAGCGACGGAAGGCTCAAGTGTCACCGTCAACTGTTGTGCACATCTGCTGCTGCGTCTGGCCTTTACTATTCGCATATGGCACCTCCCGCCGCCCAGCCCAGGGACAGACAAAGGCACCAGTTTGACGACGACGAACGCTCATGTGCTTCACGCATCAAAATTGACCATCTTGATACTCAAAAATACCCCCGCTCGGCGTCTTGTTGAATGTTTTTGGTTGCTAACATAAACGGAAAGTGCAACGGCATACAGCCCTGCAATACTTGCAGCAAACGGAGCCTGGATTGTACCTACATAAAGGCACCCAATAGCGATCTAGATCAGCTCTCCCCGCTCCCGTCCGCCACGCCAGCAAAGCGACGCCATGTTGACGATAGTTCACCGGTGAAGACTGATTCACCAGAGATCAATTTGCCAGATCACCATAGTCCCACCACGGTGTATGCGCCCTGGAGCAACGATCCTAGTCGACACGGGAGCATCGTGGGACGTCCCAGGGTTGACACTAATCCCAGCACATCCACTGAGCCAGACAATGAGCTTCTGGCGCCAGACCATGAGTACGAAAACAACTCTAGAAATAGCACGGTTTCTGGGCCAGACGAAGAGACGTCCCTTCTTCAGTCCACGAGAATGCTACAGGACCCAACTGGAAGGCTACGTAAGAAGTCCCAGTACCAATCTTAGTGCATGGACGGGCTGACCTGGTGAACCATAGTCTATGTCGGAGACTCTGCCTCGTTGGCTTATCTGCAGCTCATTCGCATGATTGTTGAGACAAGGACAGGTCCCAATGCGTTCACCATGGATCCAAGCCGACACAAAATCATGGAGCCGACCATCAGCATGCCAGCGAATGTGCGACCATCCCACATCCTGCCTGATCAAGAAACGGCGAAAATTCTAGTTGCCTCTTTCTTCACCAATGTGAGTGATGCTCCATCTTGCCTGGTGATCGCGTCGCGCTCGGCTTCGGCGTTGATCATTACCTTTTTTTACCACATCCGACTGATTTTCTCAGACGCATGGTTTGATTGAGATTTTCAACCGCTCGGCATTTGAGGCTTCCGTTGGGGCATGTTATTCCGATCCTCTTTCCGCACAGTCGTCTTTTATCTGTCTGCTTTACTTGACGTTCGCGATCGGCACTGTTCTCGGGACGCCGTTGCCGTCAACTCGAGAAGACGCGGTTTTCAAAAAGCTTCGGACAGATCAATTCAACAGAGCGGAAATGTTCTTTCGCAGCGCCAAATCTCTTGCAGATCCCGTCTCTGGTTTTGAAGACGCCGACTTTTGGTCTGTCCAGGCGTTGTCCCTGATGGCCGTCTATATGCTCGCTGTTTCGAAGCGCAATGCGGCATATGCCTACTTTGGTAATTTGTCACGTGCTGTGCTACAGAGTCTTGACTAACAAGTGGACAGGCATGGCAGTGCGGTCTGCATTTGCTCTTGGTCTACACAGAGTGCAAGAGAACCATTCCATTTTTACGAGCGAGGATGTGAGGTTGAGACGAAACCTATGGCGAAGCCTTTTTGTCCTCGACAGGTTTTTGGCAGCCTCTTTAGGACGCCCAGCCGCCATTGCTGAAGACGAATGTTCAGAGGACGCCTTGATGGTCTTCGAGAAGAACCATGTGGGTGAGCTGACTCGAGTCTCCGATACCTCCAGCGGTCTCGACGCAGCCGTCCGAAGCTGTCAAGTCATTGGCCAAATTCTAAAGAAGATCTACGCCCGAAGACGAATATCATTGCGACTAGCACATGAAATCGCGGAGCAATGCCAGAAGTGGAGCTCCTCCCTACATCCCGATCTTCACTGCACCAAGGTGCGGACAAGACCCTGGCACGCAGCACAGGGCATCGCCGCCCTGCATGTGAACCTTCTCTACTCGCACTCGATACTTCTTCTGACGAGACCGTTCTTCATCTGTCAACTCAGCAAAGTCCACAACGAACGCAGTGGAGTAAAGCTGCCGGTCCCTCGATGGGTCAACCGCATGTCCAAGTATTGTGAGGCTTGCTTCGCTGCATCCACCCACACCATCGACCTGGTACAGCAGGCATATGAGAGCAACTACCTGCCGCAGCGAAACCCTTTTGTCTTGTAAGTAGCATTGCTTTCCATCTTCACTAATCACTAACCGTGTTGTCGCTAGATACTTCCTCTTTGCTGCCAGTCTTATCGTACTGAGCAATGAATTCGGCTCAGTCTATGCGAACCCCTCGTACGAGTTGTTGATCAACAACTCAATCACTATTATGCAGTATTGCGCAAAGTCTGACCCCCAGGCTAATCGACTGCTCTATATTCTCAACTCGTTCAAGGCGGCTGTCGCACATGTTCGGGAGCAAGACATGGATACGCCTGCTCTACCTGGCCCTGCCCCCCTTGCCAGCGGCGTTGACCCCATGGTTGGCATCTTCACGCCCAGCAAAGGATCTCGAAGAAGTTCGTTCGTCTCGCCGGTGTCGGCAGTTACTTCTGCGAGCAGAGCAATGGCGGCACCACCGGCGCCGCTTGCGATGAAGATGGAAAGCACCCCGCACCCCTCATTCGGAATTGCGGGTGTATCGCCGGCGAGTAGTGCAGCCGTCAGCAGTGGGGGACGGGATACGGACACGGGTGACAACGAGTTGGACTTTGACAACCTATGGGGGCCTTGGACACCTGCACCGACTTCGGCACTGCCCGCGGTGGCAACGAATGGCGGCCCATCAACATCGGCAAGGCCAATGGGACCCGGAGAAGCCAGAGCGGCGGCTCAGAGCGAGAGAGCACTTGGTCCAGGACATGTACCGAACGACAAATTGGCGTCAGCATACGGCCGATACGGTGCCGGTGGGATTGTTTCTAACGGGGATGCGATGCCTACTGGCCACAGTATCCCCTCGTCATCTTCGTTGTTCGCACCCGCTGAGTTTTGATGTTTGGAGCTGCAGACCACGCAGGTGAGAGAGACTTTCAGCTTACCAATGGTTTGTGAAAACTGGAGAACAGAGCAGGAAAGGGAATTGTTGTTCTTGACGAGTTTCCTGCGTAATGGGAATTTGCATGGCCATGGGCGGGCTTGGCAGGTTTGGGGGAGGAGTTACGGACGTCGAAAAGGTGAACAGCAAAAGGTCAGGGAGAGAAGAAAAGGATACCCAAGTTTTATTTATTCATGTTCATGTTCCACAAAGCTGATGAGCAATCGAAAACAGACATTTGCTTCATCGCAATCCAGTCACAGCCATATGCATCCATCACACTAGGCCACCGGTCAGGCACCCGTACGTCTCCCCCACAGGACAAAGCAATAGCAAATACGAGGGTGTGTGTACTCATTTTCCGGCCCTGATACAAGTGCCCGCGTGTGAGCCGTGCATGTGATGCATATTCGCGAGGTGAGACCCGGGGGCCGAAGATAATGGAGCTAGGCACTCGTGTTTGACACGGCCCGTTCTATCTGCTACTTTCCCCTACAGGACTACTTTTCCCTAAATGAAGGAGGCGTGACCCTGCATCGCTTGCCACTCTACCGAGTCCATCAACAACGCCTCTCTTGTCTAGAAATGCCCCAAAGCATGCCGCCCGTTGAGTGAGAAGATGAAGAAGGAGAAGGAGAAGAAGAGCATCAGAGAAGGGAAGGATCAAGCCGCCTCGGCCAGGACAAAATCAAAGTCGACCCGCCATCTGGCCCCCATTGGATCCGTTTCGTCGGCCGGCCGGAACACGGCAATGAGGTCCTCCTTGACGGCGAAGACGGTGTCGTCCTCGAGGTGGGGGTCCTCGGCATCAAAAAGCTGGGTCGTCAGCGTGCGGCGGCCGGGACACGAGACGATGAAGTGTATGTGGGCCGGGCGGAAAGGGTGGCGGTCTAGCAGGCCGAGCAGGCGGCCGGCGGGCCCGTCGTCGGGGACGGGGTAGGGCGGGGGGCGGAGACAGTAGAGGGCGAAGCGGCCGTCGGTGTCGGTGGGGAGGCGGGCGCGGAGGTGCATCTCGGGCTGGGCCGGGTCCTGCTGCTCGTACTGGCCGTTGGGGGCGGCGTGCCAGACGTCGAGGGTCGCGTTGGCCAGGGGCGTGCCCGCCGGGGTCAGGACGCGGCCGGTGAGGTGTGTCAGGCGGGAGGCGTAGCAGGGGTCTGTCAGGAGAGAGGGGTGGATGATGGAGGCGTTGGCCGGGAGGACGGGGGCCGCGGTGCGGTAGAAGGGACCGAGGATGGCGGACGGCGTCGAGGTTGCTGGGGCCCGGGCCGTTGGAGTCTTCTGGGGTGCGCATTTCGGACCACCCCGGGCATCAGAGGTTGGCGGCTGCGTCTGGAGCGGAGCGGAGGGCCTTGGGCCTTGCTTGAGCGAGGTGATCTCGTCGACGAGGGATTCGAGGCCGAGAACGTCGCACACGAGTTGCGTCTCGTTGCGCGCGTCGTTGCTCATCTGGCCGGCCTCGTTGAGCTGCGACGGTGTCAGTATGGTGATACATCGGGCGTCTGGCCTCGGAACAGAGGGACTGGACTCGGCTGGACGGGGGCAGTACATACGAGCTGGATGCCGGCCATCCACTCATCGGCGGTGAGCTCGACCTCACGAGCAAAGTCATGCAGGTGACGGAGGAGGGCAGGCATGATCTCGGCCAGGCGGGGGTTGGCATTTCGGCCGGTGGCGGCGATAACACGTGCTGTGAAGTCGGGGTCGAGAGCCGAGCCGAATCTTCCGGAAGAGGCGGGATTCGGGGCCGACTTCTCGGTTCTATCCCCGTCCCTTTCTATTTCCCTGGGCATGGTGGTGGTGGTCGTGGTCGTCTTCTTCTTCTCCCCGTCGGCGGCCACGATGACGGACTCGTGGTGTTTCTCGTCGGCGCGGGCAGCGTGTCGACTCGTCGGAGCAGGATAAGAATGCTTAGGGGGACAGTGATGCTTAGAGGGTTGGTGATGCTTTGGGGGATGTTGTCTCAGCGTCGTGAATCGAGGTTGAGCGGCGGCTGACTCGGGCGGCGCCAACTTAAAAGAGGGGCCGCATTGGGTCTGGTGAGGAGAAGCCGAAGAGGTGCTCCTATTGAGGCTGAGGTTCGACCGCTGTTCGAGGGTTGGAGGTACCATGGCGGCGATGGTGATGGTGATGATTATGGCGTTTCCTTTCCAAAGAAGAAGCTTCGAGGAGGGGTCGAAGCAGTGAGCGGTGGATCGCTGGACGAGGTCGCTCGTGGTCTAGACGTCAAGATAGAGTGTGAGCGAGCCTGGGGAAGATGAAGTAGCTGAGCGATCTGAACCTCAACTTGGCCCTGGAAAGCTAATTGAATCCTCAAGGTTGCAAAGCACCGTACTTGAAAGCAGTTTTACTCGAGGGCTGCTCAAAAAGAAATCACTTGTCTCCCCGGAGATGATGACGACTCTAGACGGTTCGTTTTTTTTTTCTGATTTTATAATCACTTCGCCTAGCCCGGCGTCACAGGTGGCCTTTCGTCGCCCCCTGATGCAATACATTCACATCTTCCTCCTACTTCTACTCCTCCTGATCATTATGGTCCCCCGCCCCCTTCATTCCCGCTCATCTGCCGCAACCCGGCCATTCCCTTGACAATGTCGGCCCCGCGCAGCTGACAGGCCTTCCCCCCCCCTCTCTGAGGCAAAGAAAAACAAATGATGAGTGTCGACAGCCTGCCGGGGAACAGGCCAGGACAAGAGACGTCGTCAGAACTCCGTTGCCGAGCATCGCCAAGTGGGATGGAGCGTGGCAGGGTTGCTACACGGGATCTGGTTCCGGCTGCAGATATCGACATGTCGCTTTTCGACGCATGTCTTGTCCCAGGGCAAAAAAAAACCCCCACTGCCACAAGAACAACAGCCGCCACAATTCTGCACGTCGCTTGTTTTGGTCCAGCATGATCTCACTCACCTGTCATGATGCAGATGTATGCAGGAGATTGGAGAAGAAGAAGAAGAAAAGAAACGAAACAAGCAGAGTGACAGCTACACAGGCCATGCCGCTTCTTACCAGCAACCCGGTCCGGCAGGGCCCGCCCCACTCCCTCCTCTCTCTCTCTCCACCATACACGTCGTCGTCGCTGGAGAGCGACTAGTGGAGAGGAGAGGTGTGTGTGTGTGTGTGTGTGTGTGAGAGAGAGAGAGAGAGAGAGAGAGAGAGGGAAAGCGGGCTGAGCAAAAGGAAAACAACAGAGGCACAGACCGGCCTCGGAGATGCAGTCGGGATTGCGGCTTACTTCTAATTGCTGACCACCATGTCCGCGGAGAGCTGAAGAGACGCAATGCGCCAGGCTTGCTGATGCGCGTCTGCATGGCACTGACAGGAAATCGTCTTCTCACATGGGGCTGGCAGGCGCGTGCGTATGGCGTGAGGGATCCATGTACATCGTGCTGGAGAGAAAGGATGACAGCATGTGTGGAGAAAGGTTGTGGGATGTGCACTATGCGGACGAGCGCAGGCAATCTTTGACAATGTTTGCGACGAACGGGTGGAATCGAGACAAGAGGGAAAAGAGACATGAAGGGAAGAGAAAAAAGTGCGCGATTCTTTACGGCGCAAACATGCACTATGGGAGAGCTTCATGTGGCCCACGACAGTGGCAGTGCTTTGCGCAAGGAGCCTGTTCTTCGAGTCTTCTCTTACCCCATGCTCACACACGGAAGAAATGGCGCTGATCGACCCAGCGAGATGCGACGCTGCTTGGCGTCCGAGCAACACGAAGGCTGAGGACGCTTGGCCAGGGGTGAAAAAAGGGGGGAAGAGGTTACCATCATACAGTATCACCCTGCATGTTCATGTTTGACACGCTTTCAACTGCCTTGCTCTGCCAAGGACATCCAATTCAACCGTGGGTCTGACGAACCGGCAGAATACGTACATTTCAACTTCTAGACCGCATCCACGCGCCTCCGGAAAACCCTCCCACGCATCCCCGGCACCCCTGAATGAAGAATTATATGCAGACGCTCCACCTCGCCGCAGCCTCCTCCCTCGTGCATCACGCTGCCGGGGCTTCCCCCACTCACCACGAGCGGGGACCAAACGTCTCCCCCTCACCTACGAAGGCCTGAATGGCCTCATTTTTAAAGTCCATCGTCTCCTTGTACACAGTGTTGCCCCACCACTTGGGCGGCTCAATCTTATGCATCGATAGCGCGAAGAAGATAACGAGCGTCGCGAGCGCCAGACCGAGGTCTAGACCGGACGATGTCAGGAAGTTCAGCCGCGACCACCATCCAAAGTGGCGCTTGCGAATCCAGTAGTTGAAGGTCATCCCCACGATGCCCCAGCTGAGATAGTTCAGCGGCGTCGCCGGCGGGATGCTTCCGGCACCGCCAAAGATGAGTGGCGCCATGAGGAAGCTGAAGGGCGACTTGGGCCAGCGCTTCGCAGCAAAGTAGATGACAATGGGCACCACAGCGCCGACGCCGAAGAAGATGAAGAGGCCCGAGTAGATCTGGCCGGGGGAGAACATGCGCGCCGGGCCCAGGAGACCCCAGATGACCGACGCCGCGAAGAATACTCGCGCACCGGGGCATGTGAAGCGGTCCACCTGCTCCGGAGTGCAGACGCCCTCCACGCGCTGAAGCGCGCCGTTGAGGACGAAGATCTGGATCACGCACGAGACTGTTGTCGACACAACCTGGGCCCAAAACATGGTGCGCGGTGGGATCTTCATGTAGTGGCCAAACTTGAGATCAGCTACGAAGCTGAGCGCGCGAGACATGGTGATGTAGCCAAACGTCTTGAAACTGTACTATGGTCAGAGTGATGCCTCGCACGACAGATGAGTGGGCCATCTTACATCATCAACGCCAGCGGCCGGCCGGGCTGGATATATCCGTACACAAACTCGGTCATGACGTTGAGGCCGATCTGGTGATTCGTGACTGCCTGGATAATGCCGATCGGCACTGAGAAGAAGAAGGAAATGGCCACGGACAGCAGGAATGCCCACCAGGTCATCATGGTAGGGTATCCTAGAACGGCCACAAACCCTAGACCAAGCATCTGCATATTCGTCAACTTTGGAGCCCCCCCCTCCCCGTACCGAGCTAGCTAGGTGTTTGTGTACTTACGACGGCGAAGAGAGACCAATACCACCAACTTGGAGCCTCCTTATACTTCCTCATGAGTCTCATGTGAACATCAGGCTTCTCCTTGGCGCTGTTCTGATACTGTTGCCAGATCTGCTTTCCGTTATGCAGGTATGTGTACACGATAAGAGATGAGATGGCGGCGAACGACAAGCCGTACGACATGGCAAACGTTGTGCTGATGAACAGAGGCGAATAGTTCTTGTAGGCCTCCTCGTCCAGCGTCATGTCGGGCCTGAGGATGCGGCTCGTGTTGTACCGTTGCCCGGTGTTGTCGTAGGTGCCCGAATCGCTCATGGGCAGGTACTGCGCGTACCAGACGCCGGTGTAGTGGAAGATGGAGCACAAGGTGATGAAGAAGAAGATGACGCCGACCATCGTGTTGGCAATGGCTTCCCTGAAAACAATCAGAAAATGTTCGGCAACTGCGGCGAAGGTGTCTGCATGACCTACCAGGGAGGAATCAAAGGAGAACCAACGAAACCCGAAATCTGCGTCCAATCAAATGTTAGAGGCAACAGTGAGAGACCTGTCGAGCCGCCGAACAGCTGATTCACAACAGGGTTTCTGGGGGCCATCCAAGTCGCAAACGCAAACACGCTCAGGCACTTGACAAAGTATCCGGGAATCCAGTAGTAGCAGAACGCTCCCAGAGTGACCAGCGCGAACCACTTGTAGCGCGGCATTCTGCCGCCGAGGATAGAGGGGTCAGGTCTGTCGCTGCGATCGTACATGGCATTCATCAGGGTCACAGACACCAAAACGCCGGGCCAGATCATGGACGCGGGATAGACTGCGAGGTCAGCCGGGATGCTTGTACGAGGGGTAAGGGGCGGCGAGAAAATCATACCGAGAAACTTCCTCAGAATACCCGCAATGCCGTATCCCAGGGATTGCGTCGAGATGGTTAGCAGCATCTGAAAGGTGAGGCCAAAATCCTGCTTGTAAAAGACGAGCTGGGCCAGGATAATGTCCGTAGCATAGGCGACTGAGAAGGAAACACTAGCCATCACAACGATGATGGAGTGCTCCTTTCGGTTGAAGGGACCCGGGTTCAGACTCCAGCGGATGCCAAAGGTCTCAAAGCGTCTCGTCGGCATGACTTTGGTCCAGCCATGGCCCATGGGCCACGATATGATCTGAGCGACGAGGGGGCTGATGCCAATGGATGGCGAGCGTAGCGAGAAGAACGTGTTCATAGAGGCACCGAGGACGACAAGGAGCAAGCCGATTGTCCAGGCTCGTATGGTGTTGCAAGGCGCGTCCTCATCGTAATTTCGAACGGCGGAGCGGACTTCGGCATAAGGAGAGTCCTCCTCGTCCTCCTTGTCCATGGCGAGCTCGTCGTCGGCCACACTATCCCGCTGGGCTCCTGGTCGCGCGTCGTACTCCTCGGGGAGGGCAGGATCTAAGAGAAGTTCATGTTCGGATGCTTGCTCATCATCATCACCCACGTCGCCCTTGAATGCTCTTGACTCACCCCATTGCGAGAGACTCTGCTGTAGGTCCCCGACGGGGCCGGAGCTTTCTTGGAAGCCGGCGGCCGTCAGGCCTACGCTCTTGTCTGTCTCGCGCCCACTTGCTGCAGCCTCGGCCGTGGAGGTCATCTCGTAGTCATCGTACTCAGCAGCAGCACCAGAGGCTGTCTTGGACACCCGGCTGCTTGAAGTTCGCGCCATGATAGGCGTCCCACTTGGATGGGAGATGTATACAACGAGACGATTTCCCCGCGGGCATGGAAGGCAGTGGGCTTAAATGGGGGGGGTGATTCTGTTAAGCTCTGGGCGAGGAAGGGGGGAAAGTGGTGGAAAAAGCTAATAGTATAGTTCGCGGCGTCGCAGAAGCCACGAATGAAGTGCTTGTTGTGTTCGGAGCCAAGAGTGTCGTGGCGAAGGCTGCGCTGTAGGGGACCACGCGCCGTGGGCGTGTCGCCAAAGCGGTGCTCAAGGTTTGGTGGCGGTGGTGCTTTCGTCGTCTGGAAGGCTACGTACGTCGCGTTCTACACTGTGGCCATGATATCGTCGGTGTGAGTATGGCGGAGAAGACGGCAAGTGATGGGCGAAGGAGTCTATACAAGCAGAACAGAATGCCGGACTCTGAATCGGCAAGAAGAGGCTGTCCCCTTCGGCAATTGAGATCTATGTGGTTCGCGTCCAAGATTGCAAACGAGGCTGCGGTGCTGAGAGAAAAGTGTTCGATTGGTTTAAGTTGAGGTGTGGTCAATCTGTGTGTATGGCTCGAGCCGCATGAGGACGCAACGTGGCCTGGGTCAAAGCCTTGGGCTTGGGCCTAGGTCTTGAGTCGTGGACAGGAGCTCTGCCAGAGATGTATGCGAAGATGTGATCAGAACATGCCGGCGATGTTCAAAGGTAACGATACTCAATGGCTGAAGTGGAAGCCTTGAGTAGAGTCGCAGCACGATGATCGGGACAGACGACGTGGTGCTTTTGGGTAAGATGAGATGGGAAGGTGAAGCTGAGCACCGCCCCTTCCACAGACGTGTCCGATGTTTCACACTGTGCAGATCAGCTTTTTAGGGGTCTTCGGCCGCAATTCAACACGGGCTGGCCACTGTCAATACAGTGTCGAGTTCGGTTGTAGCGTTCGAGACCTGAAACTCGACTGAATCGGGCCTAGCATAGTCCTTCCTGGAGCTCATCCCTGACCATCGACCTTCAAGCTCTGACGTCCCCTGCCACTGAAGGTACCTATTTTGCCTGTGAGCAAAGAGAGGCACTACACGGCAAACGCAATCGCCTCAGAGCTCTTCAGTCCAAATCCTCTTCGACTCGTCTCACACCTCGAAAGCTAGAGAGAACTCTGGCATGGCAGGATAATGCGACGTGTCGTCGTGACAGGCCTCGGCGCCATCACGCCCCTCGGGGTGGGCGTTCGCACCACCTGGTCCCGTCTCCTGGCTGGTGAGTCGGGCATCACGACCCTGCACCACCTCGAGCCGCGCCAGCGCTGGAAAGACATGACCAGCAGCGTCGCCGGCCTCGTACCGACAGAGCAATGGCGACCACCCGAGTGGCTGAACCCAACAGAGATGCGCCGCATGTCCACATTTGCCCAGTACGCCGTCGCCAGCGCCCAGATGGCCCTCGACGACGCCGGCTGGCACCCGGCGAGCCACGAAGAGAAAGAGGCCACGGGCGTCTGTCTCGGGAGCGGCATTGGCAACCTCGAAGAGATCTACGACACCAGTCTGGCGTTTGACCAAGGCGTGAGCATCCCCCGCCTGTTTGGGATGGCCTTCTTTCTCTCCCACTGCGCGGGACGTGTTGAAGCTGACTCCGCGCCAGGGTTACAAGAAGGTCTCGCCCTTGTTCGTGCCCAAGATTCTCATCAACATGGCCGCCGGCCACATCTCCATGAAGCACGGTCTCCAGGGCCCCAACCACGCCGTCACTACGGCTTGCACCACGGGGGCTCACTCGATCGGCGACGCCAGCCGCTTCATCGCCTTTGGGGACGCCGACGTCATGGTCGCCGGCGGTACCGAGTCCTGCATCCACCCTCTGACCTTTGCCGGCTTCGGCAGGGCACGGTCGCTGTCGACGAGGTACAACACCGACCCCGCAGCGAGCTGTCGTCCCTTTGATGCCGGCCGCGACGGCTTTGTCGTGGCCGAGGGTTCGGCCGTCTTTGTCCTCGAAGAGCTCGAGCACGCGAGGGCGCGAGGGGCCCGGATCTACGCCGAGGTCAAGGGGTACGGGTGCAGCGGGGATAGCCATCACATGACGGCGCCGCGGGAGGACGGCCATGGCGCGTTCAGGGCCATGCGGGCGGCGCTGAAGAATGCCGGCATCAGGCCGGCCGACGTTGACTACATCAACGCCCACGCCACGGGGACCCAGATCGGAGACGCTGCCGAGGCGTCCGCCATTCGGACACTCATGATGGGCGACGAGGGCGTCGCTGACGAGTCTGAGGTGACTGTCAGCAGCACGAAGGGTGCTGTCGGGCACTTGCTGGGGGCGGCCGGCGCTGTGGAGGCGATGTTTTCTGTTCTGTCGGTCAAGGAGGTGAGCGGCCAGCCAGCCACCGCGGAAAACGCAGGCAGTGTATGCTGACAATCTACGCAGAACCTCGTCCCGCCAACGTTGAATCTTGAGAAGCCCAATGTTGGGCCGAAACTGAACTATGTGCCGCTCAAGACGCAGGAAAAGGAGGTCAAGGTTGCCATGTCGAACAGCTTTGGATTCGGCGGCACGAATGCTTCCTTGGTATTCGCCAAGTACCAGTGATGCACTTGGAGGGATCCCATGTAAAACCTCTGTATCATCCTGTATTATTCTGTACACCAACCCAACATAACGATACAAACTTTACATGACTGCTCTTCGATGCCTCTCTGGCCCGCTTCAGGCGATGCAACCCCCACGAAGACCCTGATCGCCCCCACCCAAGACAACATGTGCACAGCCTTGACAGCACCAGCAGTAGCATCGGTGACCCGTGCACGCGCTTCGATCCGTAGTTTCGCCGGCGCTAGCATGTGCTGGGAAATGGGGTTTCCAACTCCAGAAAGTCGATGCGTTCATGAACTTTTTTAGATGCATGACGTTCAGACACGCCGAGTAGTGGTCACGACTCTCCTCCTTCAACCCCCACCAACACCATCATTTCGCCCCCCGTCTCTCGAAGGTTGAAAGCCACGGGAGCTTGAATCGAACGACACTCCCTTGTATATGCCATATAACGCCCAGCACACCGCAACAATGGCCTGCCAAAGCTGCAGGCAGCACACTCGGCTCCTCGCCAGGAGCCTCCGCGCTACGGCCGATTTCTACCCAGCCGCCTTGACTACACTGACAAGAGCGACGACGACGACGACGACGACAGCGAGTCCGACATCAACAGCCTCCTCCCCCGCTGCGTCCACGAGACGACGACCCTTCAGCAGCTCCGCGTGGCGTCGCGCCGCCAAGGCCCCCACGCGACCATCAGCGCCCGCCTCGTCCGTCGGCCCAGGCACCCCCGGCACCGCCCCTGACGAGCAGACGGGCCCCGTCTCGGGCGCCCTCGCCGGCGCCCTGCGCGGCAAGTTCCAGCCTAGCCTCGGCGGGAACCCCTACGTCCTCAGCAACCAGCTCGACAAGCTGTACAAGGTCTGCGCCGCGCCCGCCGCCTACACCATCGCCGAGGACCTTCGCAAGGCCGACAACGTGCCCAAGACGGACGACGGCGAGGAGCTCGGCACCCCCCACGGGCCGTGGCTGCAGAGTGAGTTTTCTTTTGTTCCCCTCTTTCGATCCTCTCCCCCTCTTCCTTTCCTTGGTGTTCCTCCCTCACCTTCGACGAGCACGACAAGCTGATCCAAGAAACAAAAAAAAAGTCTTCAACCTCTCGCCCTCGTTCAGCTCGTGGTCCCACGTCACCATGCTGCACATGTACCTCATCATCGCGCGCATGCGCTGCCTGGACCGCGACGCGGCGCGCACGATGCAGGCCCAGTTCGTCGACAACTTCTTCTTCGACTGCGAGCGCGTCATGCACCTGAACCACGGCATGACGTCGTCGGCCCTGCGCCAGCGCTACCTCAAGGACATCTTCATGCAGTGGCGGGGCCTCATCGCCGCCTACGACGAGGGGCTCGCCAAGAAGAGCGACAGGGTCCTCGCCGCCGCCGTCTGGCGGAACCTGTTCAAGGCCCGCGAGGACGCCGACCTCCGGAGCCTGGCCGCCGTCGTCGCCTGGATGCGCGCCACGCTGCGTGACCTCGAGGGCATGGCTGTCGACGAGATTGTCGCGCGGTCGGCCGGCGTCTTCCTGCGGGATCCGAGGGGCATGTTCAAGCTCGTTGACGAGCCGAGCGCCGCGCTCAAGGGCGTCTTCAAGGACGGTGAGGCTGCTGAGGCGCCCCAGCCCGACGCCGTCAAGGCGTGAAGCTGACGTCTGCATCATCACACACACGGGGCGTTCCTAGCATGCCCTTCAAACTGTGCCTCGGGTTTTCTCTGGGAGAAGCTTCGGATCCCGTCATAGGCCAGGATTCTATGTACTATGTATCACCAGCTCATCACAATACATGTAACCATAGTGTACAATGCTAAATATGCCCTCATGTTGAAACACAGGCTAACAAGCACCAATGTCATACAGATGGCTCACTTTGGTACCTGACGGCTATGCATGCATGGTCTCTCATAAACTTCGTATTGCCTCGTTGACCGAGCACTACCGCAGCTCTACCGACGGAAAGTATCTCGGCCCCGCGAACCCCTTGGCTATCACAGCCTGAATGTCGATGTTGCTCGACGATTCACGATGTGGACTCCACATCTTTAATAGAATGAACCGCCCCGACACGGGCGGATCGAAGCGTATTGTACACTTGCTCTTATCCTTCTCGATAAAAAACTTGGCATGAGGCACCATCAAATCACTGGACCCGGCGCTGGCCTCGTGCGCTACCTGGTGGTGTGCGTTGGCAGCTTCGGCTAGTGTCATGTTCTGCGTGTCGCGCCGTCGGGCCGCAGGCGACCACGCATCCACGAGGCCGTACTCGTCTTGCGCAAAGGGGTTGCCCTCGTCGCTACTGTCGCTCTCAAAAGGCAGAGAACCGATTCGGTTGGGGGGCCGTCGATAGAACATATTCGTCATGGGTTCATCGCTTTCTTCCTCGTCGCATTCCGTAGTTATGTTGAACGGCGGTGGGTCAGTGGCAAAGTCGGGCGGCATCTGCGCCGTGCTTTGGTTGTCCTCTTCGTCATCAGAATAGTTATGGAGAGGCCTCGTGCGCAGCCGCGTCCGCGTGACGGTCGTACCATCATCATTGTGACGTATCGATATGATGGGCGCCAGAGCGCGCGGGTCCCGGGTACGCCCAGATCGGGGGGGCGCGTACTGTATCTGATACTGAGTCGTTCGGGCGAGCAGATCGTCCTGGTTCATGGAGACAAAGATCATTCCCTCGCGCACACTGCGAACAGTGTTAGCCTTCATGGGGGAGTCAGTCCGAGGTCAGTCACTTACGGCGACGAGTAGTTGCATGACCCGGGCGCCTTGATGACGAGCTCCTTGAGACTGAAGACGGTTGCCCCCTGATGCCTCAGAACAATGTTGCACTTGCTAGACTTGGTGCAATATACGGTCGGGTCATTCTTGAGTATGTTTTCGTATGCGTAGGAGGACTCATTGGCGAAGAGCCCGCCGTCGCAGCTGACGATTTCCATGGTCAATTCGCCCGGTTCGACTTGTCCATACCGGCCGTATCGGAATCCTTTGAAGCTTGGAGCGATTCTGTCCGAGTCTAACTTGCGTCGCTTGGGGCGACGGCTGTCGTCGGCGTATTCGGGCGGTCGTAGAACTGGAGACAAATGGCCGGGCGAATTCATGGAGGGATGGGACGGGGCTGAGGGCGAAAATGTCTGCTGAGGGCGTCGATTCCACATGGCTCTCACCGAGTCGAGATCGTCGTCCTCATCCTCGGGGGCCGAGATGGCCAGCCTCGACGACCCTCTGCCGCTCTGGGGTCCGCCTAGAGGGTGCATCCTCATGGGGGGAATGCGACGACGAGTGCGCCTCTGGTCGTCGTCATCGTCGGCCCAAGGGTCTGAGAGGTAGTTTCGTGAGTTGTCCTGGTTCGCCATGGGGTCGAGCTCTTGGGCTGCGTTACGCTGAATGTCCCGATGGTGCTCAAGGAAACGCACGGTACTGGCGCTGGCGGGGTTGTAAAGGCGGGTTGGGGCGGTCAAGTATTCAGAGTCACTCAGTAGTTCGTGATATTCTGCCTCAAACGCCCTGTCAGCAGCCTGTTGCCGACTTCGTAAGCGGGCTCGGTCGGTCCCGGTGACGGTATTTGGTGCGAGGAGGGGGAAGAGGTGGTCGGCAACGGGGTGGCTGAGAGTGGTTCCGGGAGGTGCTGTCGAGGCGTCGATGGTCCGTCGAACCCAAGCCAAGTCGGCTCTCAGCGGTGGTAGTCGTCAATCCGAGGGAAGGGGTGGAAAGTCGGTATCTTGTGAATCTCGTGTTTGCCAGTGGTCGGAAGCCGGTGGCGGCATTCTTTGGTCGGGGCGGGGTCAGCTGGACAGAGAGGACGGGCAGAACGGGCCGATGCTGTGTGCCTCTCGGAAGACTATGAGGTGTGAGAGATGTCTGCGGTCGGGCGTGGTGGCATAGCCAGGGCGATGCTTGACGTGATCTCGACTCGGAGCCTGAGAGAGGGTGGGGGGAGGTTGCGGTGACGAGCGGTGGGATCGGTAGACGTCAGGGCGCCTCGAGTTGAACGAGGTGCACCCTCCACTTTCAGGACACCGATACCTACCTACTTACCCACCCAGGTAGGTGGTGCGTGACTGACGGCGGGCGGAGGGCCAAGTGCGAGCGTGGGCGAGTAGGCGTGTACGGTGTCTGTCTAGCTAGAAGGGGCTAGTGACGACTGTACCATGTGTGTCAGATGCACCCCTGCGCAGATTGGGACATGGTCGAGGCGCTGGTTCTCGACTCAGATGCTGAAGGCAGGTCGATACCGTAGGTACGCGGCAAGCGGCCTGTTGCTTCGGGACGAGCGAAGTGGAGGAGCCTCGTTCTTCGATGTGAACCAGCCGTGCTACGATGCCATTGCCAAGGTCATGCTGCCATTGTCAAGGCCCTCCTGCCATGCGTGCGTGAGTCCCACCGTGTCCCTCTCCCAAGTCGTGCAAGAGTCCTGGCACTCATTGTGCCTGCCATCCTCGGCACTGCTTGCCTCGTGATCTCAAACGCACCTTCCCAAGGAGAACGTGGCAGGCAGGCAAGGTGCGTACCTCTGCTGCCTCTTCCTTGTTGAGATGGAAGGTGCTTGCGATGATACCTCCAGGAAGGGAAGCAACAACGGCCCCCCATATACGTCATCCAGTCACGGCCAAGCGGTATCTCGGAAGCCGCCAGGTGGCCCCGCTTAGCGCAACTGACCCAGATGGGCTGCCCCAGCCGGGGCCCGTGCCTTTGGCTCGTCCAGGTACAAACCAACAGACACCAATGAAGGGCCTCCACTGCAAACGCGACAAGTCGATCGACACCATGTCTTGACCATTTCTTCGCCGTATTCGTCTCGCCATCACAGTTGCCAACACAAGCATCCAGCACCTCCCTCCACCCTCAAGGGACTATTAAGGCCAACAAGTGCGCTCAAGTCGATGACCAGGCCATCATTGAGGATTGGTAGCGAGGCAACTGCCATCTGTCTGACCCGTGCTCCTCAACGCTCACTCATCCCTCGTGGAAGCTCACCCAGCCTGACACTGGGTCACCAAACGAATCG